GATGTGGACTTCCTAAAGAAGCATTGTTTTTAAGTAGAAACTACTTAAAATGTGTTATATTCCAGTCAGTCTGCCAATCACAAATTTATTTAATATTAAGAATATTCTATTTTTATTTTGTTAAATAATAATAATGATGATGATTGAAAACATTGTTCAGTAATTCACTTAAAATGTCATTTTGTTGTTCCAGTTTTTTTAAAATATTTTGAAATTTTGTTAAGTTTTTACTGATATTCTATAAAAGGTGTGAATAATGAATGTAACAAATTCCATATAAACATTGAAAATAATTGAATGCATTTCAATAAAACACTTATCAGTATTATGGTTGATGGTTGTTGTTGTTGTTGTTGTTATTATTAAAGTACAGTACTGTACATCTATTGAAACAAATTATTTAATTTCAAATCCAAATGTCTCACTCAAATATATATTTGATTTTATTTGAAAAAAGTTGAATTCTGTGAAGATGTGATGCATGTTTATAGAAGTTTTTAAGAAAAGTATTTTTGATACAAGAAAGAACTGATATGTTATAATAAGACTATCTTATTGTTATGTGAAAGATAAATATTATTTGCCTATCCACTAGAGACTATTATGGTCTGGTAAAGTTTTCTTGTCAACATTTTATTTCTTTTCATTGCATAACTGAAAAGATAAATATTTACTGATAAGATGTTTAATTTTGTCAATATAAAAAGATATTCTACCAGATGCTTCAGAAGATAAACCCAGAATAGTGCGCTCTGTTTTAAAATACCGTTTTTGCCACGATTTATAGGTTGGTGTATTTTCTTTAAATGCCACAATCACCACTATAAATTTACAAATGAATTTGGGATAAATTTTTAATTTCAATTTTTCATCAAATAAAGATTGTGTAACACAACCTGTGTCGTGTTACACAATCGGTGTTACACAAGATTGTGTAACACCGACTGTGAGCACAAACAGATTTATATCTATATTTTGATAGATTCTTGCCATTTTGTGAAAGGTTTCTATAATTACAGTGTCTTTATCATACAGTGTATCAACGTGACTTATGTCTGTAGTGTGTGGTTTCAGCTTTCATAATTGTATTTTATCAACTAAAATATGACAAACGGTAAGTGCTTTAATCCTACACTTACAAACAAAAACTTAAGATCATTCTTTTCTTACTTAGATTGGGATTCTCTTTTTAACTAAATGACTTTTTTCTTTTAACAGGCATTCCATGGACGAATGTAATGAAACGAATTTTAACAAGAGTCAACAATTACTTTTCAGGTGATATCTGCATTTATGGTAAAAAAAAATTGATTGATTGTGGCATTTTCAATTTGATGGAAATGATTTCGATGCAGTGCTCTAATTAGATACTTCCACTCAATGTATAACAATAGTAATTTTTGAAATGGAATATTTACAACAAAAATCTTGAAAATTGTCTAATATGTAAGTTTCGGATTCTATAAATTTAACTCTCGCGTGCTCTCTTCCAATCGAAACAATCGTCTTGCCACATTCGTACAATTCAAAATAATTTCTAAACCATTGTATTGGCCGAAGTGGCTAAAACGTCAGGTTAGCAATCCGAAAGAACTTGGATCGTATTCGGACGAATACTCGTGGTCGGTTTGACCCTCGCCGTCCGATGTCTGATTGCGGGCCTGTGATCAACTCGCAACGCGCACGAATAAAGGCCCCCCCTCCCTGTTAGGGTCCACTTGGCCTACAGTCAAAAATTACTATCGTTTGATAATTAATGTTACATTTGTTACTAAGTGAAGGAAACATTATTTAACACGAATCTGTATATTAGTTAAAGGTACAAACTACTTTTTGTAATTCTATTTTTAAAGCATTTTCCGCTCAATGCGTGTTTAAAATGTGCTGGCGACCTCATTTTAATGCAATTTTGCTTTTCATGCCATTTTTTCACTAAAAAATAAGTATTTAAAATTATATTTTATTTCATTACGAATTTTTACTCTTGTCTCTAGAAATTAATCCAAAAAACGAGCAATTCTAATATTTTGATAAATATCGAATCTTTAAACATTTAATACGAAATTTAATAAGTTTTTATTAAATATAAATATTTATATACAATCATGCAAATTCCGTGTACAGATTTCACTGTTGAAGTAATTATAATTCTGGTCTGAACACATCCATTGCAATGTGCGTTTTTGGTTAAAGTTCAACGTGGAAATGGTTTCCTCCCGTAGCGTATTATTCTGTGGCGAAATGTTTTACAAGTATAACATCGGTCGAAATATTATAAGTTGCCTTGGCCAGTTATTTGTCCAGTTTTAGTCGTTTAAACAACAGCGTAACACGGTTTTTTATTAGGCTTCAGCGAACTCCCCTTCCCCTCGCAACCATTACATTAAATTTTATACAATTTATGCATTTTATTATATCTGAAAAATTCTTGTATATTTCGTTTCTACTTATGCCATCGATCATTTATAAAGTGATAAAGTTTTCGTTGGACGTCCGAATAGGGGAGGGAATTGCGGAAACGTGGACAAACGGGACGAAAAGGGCAGGGCGAGTAAAGATTTCAAAAAAAGAAAAAAAATGCATATATAATTTATGGACAGCCCCGTAGTGTTCGAGCATATCCTAACTCTACATCAATTGATTACAGCAGCTCGTGTCTGTCGGGACGAGTAAAAGGCTGGAGACGAACTCGAGCAACGATCCGTCAAAAACACTCTCTAGAAATAGAGAGGCCCGGAAATCACGAAATTCATCTTTCTAGAATACTTTTTAACTTCGATAAGCCAAGTATCGCAATTAGGGCGGTGGTTTTCGATAAGAATTGATCGGTTTCCTTCGGAGGAATCGGATCTTTTCATTGTTAACTTTCCGATGGAGTTGTTAAAACAAAATAGAAATTAATAAATAGCATACTTTAAATCTTATTCTCCGCTATAGTTTATATATTACATACGCAGCGCCGTAACTAGCCATTCCTGTGCCCCGTGCAAGAATTTGCAAATAGGCCCCTTAATTAATTATGTTTGGGAAAATAATAAAACAGATACATGCATTTTTGGCTCCCCTTCCAAGTGGGCCCTGCGCGGGTGCACCTGTTGCACCCGCCTAGTTACGGCACTGTACAGTACATACCTTATACATTAATATCCCGTCTGATTCTTAATTACAATAATTCGAGTTCATTTTTTCTATCGAATATTAAAAATCGTCGAAAAGATTATATTATATTACTAGCAGATAAGCCCGACGTTGCTCGGGCAAAAAGTAACGATAGCGAAGATTAAGATTATTACATTACAGCCAATCTTACCCGTTTTCACAGAATGCAAGAATTGGGTTCCCCCGTTTCCAGACCAATTAGAAAATTTTTAGATGGGTCTAAAATTATGTTCGATTTAACGCAAAAAAACCGCATCTGCGCCTGTAAATCTTGCGCGTTGCTTTCTCTTAACACTTCCATTGTCGAAGCCTTAATCCTGTCCCTTTCCCCGCGGGGGGAATTTAGAAAAATCCCTTCTTAGTGCGAGTTCTCGTGACGTACCCTAACTGTGTACCAAATTTAAAGTTTCGACCCCTAACCGTGCTCACGATGAAATGCTCGTATACACGCGCGCCATCTATCGTAGGATAAATGTACACTGCCAAAAACTTTCGCGGGAGTGAATTAAACAACTTCCCATAGTTTCATGGCAATCGGATAAATGGTGAGGTAATGCATGAAGGACAGACGGACATACATTAATTTTTATATATATAGATATATAATGAATTTAATCTCTAACATTCATTTGACTTTGAAAGAATTAAATCTGCATTCGAAATATACAATTCAGATTAGAATAGGAATATTTCTTAATTAATGCGAGTTCTATTTTCGCATCATTCGCTCATTTTCCTTTGCAGAATGGATAATTTCAAAGAATCGAAGAAGTGGCACACCTCGGGCCGTGCCCAACCCCGGGATGACGCCTCGTATTAACCTGGTGTCATACGGGTGCTTCCGAAAGATGCGGAGGAGGAGTGTCAAACGGGTGGTGGTGATAACTCCTCATTTCTCGTCCGTTATCTGGAACGGCGATATCCCGAAGTTGCGGAATGGACGGTGGAGACACGGCCACGTCAGACCGGACTAGACAGAAAGGAGTCCGAAGAAGTGGTGGAAAAATCCGTCGTGCGTAAAAGGCCTCGGTGGAAAAGGTTGTTTTGCTGCTGGAAAACATAAACCCTTTTTATGCCGAGACTTTCATGCACGGATTCCACCGAACGTGACACAGCCACCCGAAAGTGACCTTTCACCCAAATATTACTCTTTCACCCGGCTACGACTTAATCAACTGGACTCTACTTTCTATCCCAATTATACCGACTCTATTCGAGATTCGTTCCACTTCGGTTAAAGTGCATAGAATATCGACAGCGACGTTCTACCGTGGCAAAGTGACAACGAAATATCGAGCTATAACTGGTGGAGGCAACTTATAACAGGCCTATACAGATTGTATTTCAACCGATGTTCTACTAGTAGAAAATTTCGCTACGAAATAACGGATATTGCGCTGGAATGCGCTAAACGTTGAACATTTCCACCTTGAACTTTAACCACAAACACACATTGCAGTCGATATTTGTTTAAAGTAGAATTATAATTACTTCGACAATTAAAATTGTACACGGAATTTTCACGATTGTACATAAGTTTTACTAAATGTAAAAATGTATTAAATTTCGTATTGGGCTAACTGTTTAAAGATTCGATATTTATCGTTTTTAGATTAATTTATAATTGCGTCTAGGCTCTAGGCACGAAAAAAGAAACTGTTGTTCGATAAAAAAATCTTTCACGTTGTGTAGACGGTAGACTAATCTACCGTGGAATGCAGTCGCTTATATATGCCACTATTGTCATCTACACCCACAAAATGAAGCTTTTTGCGTTTTATAATAATATAAAAGTTTTTAAAATGAAATCTCGTCACACAAACACAAATTTAACTTTGTACTAATGTGTCTCACTCGGTGTTTTTCGTGGGAAGAATTACGCAATTCGTTGCTGAAATTTTTACACGTTTGTTAGATTTCTAAGGTTTCAAATCATAACTTGTACATTAACTGTCGATCGTGTGTTGTGATGGCCAAAACCAGGTAAAACGCGTATAAATTAAAAATTATCTTTACGAATAATACGAGCGTTGCGAGGTGCGAGAATCGAATCCCAAAAATTCAAAAAAATTTGTCATATAATTCATTATTTTTAAAGTTTATTGTCGAAAGATTAACACTAAGGTGTAAGATATTTCTCGTATAAATTATCCTATAAAACAAAAGGCAGTCTACTGGCACAGCCGCGAGGTACTGTACGTATTCAAAATCTCGACATCGATCCGTGAGATGCTATCGGAAGCGACGTAACTGCTACATTTTCTAGAGAGAACAAACGCCGAGTGCCGAGAATTTCGGCAGAGAAAAACAAGAAAAATGGCGAACGATGTGGACTTCCACGTTACTTTAAATTTATTTTTAATTAAGCTTTTCTCGTTAAATATTTCGAAGAAAGAAATAGGGACGAAGACTTTTTAAATGTTCGCGGGAGCTTTAAATAATTAAACCAATCCTATGATTACACTTTAACAAGTAAAAAAAAATTATGTGATGTCTTAAGTAAATATACACGTATATTAAAATATTCTGTTAATGTACTAACCGAATTTTAATTTATTTAGGATTTATTCATCAACAAATTGAAAATTGTCAACGCAAAATACAGCTCTTGCCAGCTGGTGGTGGCTGCGTCTTGTTTGCTGGAAGCAACCGGAAGTCATCCGAGATTTCGAACAGAGGTGCTGGCTGCGCGTGAGATTTTGAATACGCCCGAGTTGACAGGTAGGTAGGCAATTTCTTCCAATGCAAAATAATAGACTTGTAACGAAAGCCTTCAAATGTACAAATAAGTTATTCGGTGATTTACTTATAAATGCTCTGTAGTATCCGAGCGTCCATCTCGGATTTTGACCTTGGATTGAAAACCAGAAATCGGGACATTGTGTTAAAATATGGTAGACACCCGGGATTAGGTTTGTACGTAGGTATTCTGGAAAATAAGCGAACGATTCTAATTTATTTTATTGAGTTTTCAGTTACTGAACATTTATCATCGTGTTACTAACTTGTAAATGTTTTTTAGAAAACCCGGTCGCCCCATTGTGGGCCTGGCCGAATCCGCAATGGGCTGGCTAAAAGAGACCCTCTTAGTGCCCACGGCGGAGAGTAAAAAAACCCGTGATGGACACGATTTAGAGAATACGTTCAATTTAGGAACACGGAATATCGGTATGGGTATTAGCCTAATTCCTAATATTGTTGTTCACGTAGGACATATCCCCTAATATTTTTTGTATTAAATATGGCAAACTGTCTTCTGCCAACATATTTTTTTAATACTATACCACAAAAATTAAAAGTAGAAACGCGTACTGTATGCAGTTACAGTATTTTATATATCCACTTAGTTTTCTTAGTCGTTATCGTTAGCCCGTCCCCCTCAATATTTATACAGCTCGACTCAGATGATGATGTTACATGCACATTGATAAATGCGCATATAACTGATATAATAAGAAAGTTTCAATACTGAAAACTGACATAATGTGGCATTTTTTTTTTACCGATTTTCGATCGGAATTGATAAGAAATCTTTATTTCCTCGGAAGTAAAACTCGTGTTGGGTAATGTTGTCGTTGTTGTGCATTATTATATAACAGTTTTGTCCAATGAGGTTTTATAGCGCCAAAGACTTTTGGTAATTGCGATTTTGTCTGGAAGCTTTTGCCATTTGGGTTTCTGTTCTGGAATCTTCACAAGTTACGACAGCTTCATACGGGATAATGCAAAACATCCGCCGAAGTTAAATACTTTCAACACGCGCATTAGTTTTCGCCACTGCTATAAAAATCAGAAACTTTAATAATTGCGCTTTTAAAAAATTTTGTCGATGGTCACGTGATGACTTCTTTAAACTCTACCACTAGCATTAAGGACCGTTTTTGCAGATATACGAGTTTCGCCATCCCTAATGGGACGGTCGAACGACGAAAGAGGCAACGTATTCGAGCGAAACCACTCCTGCTTGGTTTATTTGGTTACGGCAATGCGACGAGTGAGCGATCTGCCGGAGGATGCCTCTTTGGATGACTTTTATGGGAAACTGGCTCCTATTTAGGTGTTATAAATGTAAAAACTTGGAAAACTACGCGAGCAGCCCCTTGGCGAGGCGGGAATCCACGACCAACCACCAGTGTTCGGTGGTTTTATCCACTCGCACTCCTGCAAATTTAAGGATTCGCATCCGTATGAGAGAGGTATATGATTTAAACAATATAAATGTTTGTGATCCAACTTTGCAATAAATTGAAACAACAAAAAACAAGTTGTTTCAATTTATTGCATCCTGTAAATACCACGAAAAATCCTTTAGCATTCCATTGATTAGGCGAATACTTTTATAACATTTTCGTAGCCATATCTTCGGCAATGAGAATTTATTACGCTTCAGGAGAGTCCGGGATTAATTCTCGTTCCGATTTCGGTTTTCTTCTTCTCGAGTGTTCTTCGCGCGGCACAAGGGTCCCAATAATGATAAATTCGGCAAAAATAGAAATCTTTGCCGAGTTTGTCATCGTTAGAAGCAGTATGTTCTTATACATACAATTGATTATGTATCAATTTATATTTTTCGAAAGTAATTCTATGATCTAAATAGCAATCTTTTGGCACACCGTTAAGAATTTTCAAAAATTCAAACAGATTTTACTTCAAAACTTTCTTTTACGCTAATTTTTATGCTAATAGCGATATAAGATTTTTTGTTAATTTATATTTTTAAAACGCCATTTCTTTTAATTCAAAATAATTAATCTTCACTGATTTTACTAATAACGTTTGTTTTCTAGGTTTAATTCATCGGTAAAATATCACAATCAGTTTTACCTCCAGATTTTTTTAAAGGTTACAAAAAATAAAGAGGAAATTACTATTTACCCCAAACACTCGTTTCATTCGTTTGAATCAAACGATATCCACGAAATGAACAAATTGAATGCGGGTTTCTAACCCGGACTCTTCTGGATAGTTGCAGAATTTCATTAAAGCCTACATAATAAAGCTTTTAACAACTGCAATGCACACTATACTAATATTTTTATAGGCTGGCAATCTTGACACCATTTATTGTAACGAAAACCTTCTCAACAAAAATGCAATATTACTGATCATTGCCTGTAAATTCTATGCTAATATACAAATGAAAATATAGAATTTTCAATAGTTTAACTTTATTTCACTATGGAAATCTGTTTAGTTTTCATGATATTGACAGTCATTGAAAACTAGAATGATCCTTTACTGTAAAACTACTTAGGCCTGGTTTTAGCACCCACAACCAGATTACAAAGTTTTTTTTTCTCATGAAGAATGGTAACTTCTCGAGAATGTCAGACTTGCCTCCCAGAATTTCTGGGTAGATGGGATATTAAATATTTTGGTTTCCATTGCAGAGCATTAATTTTTGCATAACTTACTTTCTATGATTATTTCTGGAAAAATCTTCATATCCTTATCTTACCAACATTTCAGTATAAACAAATACACAAGTAAAATCTTTAATCCTTGGTTTTCAAAATTTATTATATTTCTTTTGGCTTCAAAACTTACCAAGACCTCATAATTTAACCAAAGAAAATTCTCAAAGCTGCAGCTGGATGAAAATTGTTCCTCCAGACAATTCTTTTGATGAAATTTTAAAGTAATAACCTGTTTCAATTTACATCACATTAATAAAAACTGAAATTAAAAAGTGACTAGAGAATTGGTAACAATATTTGTTTTCATTTTGCTCAATGGATTAAACTTGTGGCAAACTAAAAATAATCTGTAATTGTTTCATTATTTATTCAACAAAAATATCCAGTATTGTTAAATTTATTGTACATTGATGTTCTGGAATAATAATAATAATAATTTATATTAAATTTACAACAGGCAATTAATTAATAATATTTATGGTATAATATCAAAACAGTGCAAGATAAAATTATATTAAATGTCAATGCCAATGAATTCATCTGAATCAGGTTTTTATTAATCAATTTATTTATAAAATGATGGGAATTTTATTTCTAGAATCCTAGATTGAAATTGGATTGATGGGCTAAAGCAATGCAACACATGGATGATCTACCAAGAGAGATGCCTGCTGAGAGAATTTTCTATAGGAAACTGGTCCCTAATTAGGTGTTAGACACACACAGAAAATCTGGAAAACTATCACTAGCCTTTTGGTCAGATGCAAACCCATAACCAATTACCAGTGTTCATCATCCTAGAATCTATATCAAAATATTTAAATATTGACTTAAAATATACTTTCAGTTTTGCAAACATTGTGTCAACATTATCATTTATTACAAAACGATTTGTTTCTGTTACCTTTTATCGTTTAAATTCAATGTGAGACAAACTATTCGTATTAAAATGTAACTACAAAAAAATACATTTCTATTCTTAAATTATCATCTGTATATTAGCTGTATAATAAACAATGAAAAAATTGTTCTTATATACATTTTATTTGTAGTTTTTAATCTTAAATGTTCATCAATCAACAGCCAAAATAATTTGGCAGAAAATATCCTACAAATATTATTTTTAGAAATTACATGGTGCTTAATGTCTAGTAGTTGTTATCATCTCTTAACTAAAGTAGAAACTATAATTTAATTTTAAATTTAGAAATGTCTGAAACAAAAGAATCGGCCCAGAGCGGGAGTCGAATCCACAACCTCCACTTATTGTGCAGTATCATGTAATTTCTAAAAATAATATTTGTATGATAATTTCTGCCCAATTATTTCAGCTGTTGGTTGGTTATTAATATGTCAGGTTATTGGAATATTGATATATTTAATCTTAAATGATTGTGGCTATCTATATTATCTGAATTTTCTGTTAGCCAAGGTACATTACTCGGATAATTGAGGTTCTACTATGATTTATATATATAAATCAATCACTGAATAACAGGCAATCTACACGAATAAATAAACTGATTGCCTAGAGTAATATATATATATTAATCACTTCACAATGGTTAGGATCTTTTCAGCATGCTGTATTAATGATAGTCTTCCAATTCAATTCTCAAGCAATTAAAACTACATTAAATTGAAAGTTTACAATGTGAAGACTATCAATGAAAATACAGTAGAGCGTCGATTATCCGAAAGTCAATCATCCGAAAGAATTCCAGTCGGCAAATTTAAATTTTCGCCAGTGTTTGGGCACTGCAATCTTTGGCTATGTCTTGGACTACTCAAATATTTTACGTTTTTGATACTAAATTAACTTCTGAAGTATAATTTTTTATTGTTTTTATATTTTTCAATATATTTATTTTGTTCGTACAAAATAAAAAAATAATTTTTAACGATACAATAGTTTTCGTTAGGCTTAACATCGACGAAAATTCAATGCGAAACGACACGCAACGGAGAAAAATGTCAAGATGGGATAAATTAATTTATTTTTTCGTATATAATCTGTTATCCGAAACATCAATCTTCCGAACAACCCCAGTCCCCAATTGATTCGGATAATCGACGCTCTACTGTATATGTAATACCAGCAATACTATTCAAGATATGATTCGCAGGATTTAAACTAATATAAAGCATCAATTACAAACAGTGAATTATGAATATTTATGAAGTCCGATGCTTTCTTTGGTTGAGATATTTGCCGTGTGTCGAGTGAGTATAAATGTGGAATTTTTTCATATTACAATTGTAACTGTTACTTAAAACACTAATGTTGCTAATATCACTTATTGAAAAGTACTAGTACCATATTTTCTTATGTACTCAGTGGCATATGACTTTCAGAAAACTGTCACAATAAAAATAAAACCTTTGCATAACCTACACTACCATATATCCCATGCATACGGAAGCAGGCATTGCTTGTTTTGATCCTCTGAATGGCCAAAGCATTTAAGATTTGAGCCATTATGGGAACCTAAGATCAAATCTCCAGGAATAGTAGCTTTACAAATTTTTCATTGGCAGTAGTCCCAGATATGTCTGTTTCCTTCAATCACCACCTGCTACCTCTATTGCAATTTTGGCCAGGCACACAATAAAAATATGGTAAAAAATATCACCATTTATCTTGTTTGTAATACAAATTGAAAGTTGTTTTTTTAGTACTTAGAATGTTTATTGTTAAAGAAATACTGAAGTTTAAAAATCATTAACTTAATGATAATTTTAAAAAGTTTGCCATTTATTTAAGAAATCAAACATATTGCATTATAAATAAGTGCTAAATGTTATCAATTGGTTGTTGGCAAATAACTGAATAACTTAAAACTAAAAATTCAATAATCCAAAAATTTTGTAACTAAACTATTTAGAATAAATAGTCTCAAAAATATTTTGGTACTATTCTGTTAACTGGGTGCCATTCAATTGATGACATGTGAATCATGTTTACTTCTTAAAATTGTCTTTAAATCACAATAAACAGTTTTTGTAGTGATTTTGGATTCAAAGCTAACCTTTCTACTAATATTGTTTAAGATTTATAAAAGTCTGTTATGTTTTTAAACAACACTACTTAGAACCAGTTTATCACTGCAAATATTTACACGACAGCACTATTGTAGTCGTGAAAATTTTACATATTCTTGTTAATTTTCTGCATTTCTAAAGTTCGATGTATAATTTATTATCGATATTGGAGTTAAATAATGTATAAAAATTAAAATAAGGTTTTTTTAATATTATCTTGCATAGTGCCAGTCCTCATATCTGCAGCATTATGAGATGATTATGTAAATTAGGTCTATCGATTGTTGAATGTGTTTAGATAACCTTCTTGACTTCATCTTTTGTTTCTGATTTAAAATGGACTATACACTGTGGGATTTGCCCAATGATGAGGAAAGTGCAATACGTTTATTCAAGAAAAAGGTATTTTGCACAGCGAAAAGTACTGTTCAAAAAATCATCTAATGACATTGTATTTTTGCTTCTCTGACATCCCAAGATGAGATGCCATACCTGCTCCTGTCTTGAAAAGAAGGGTGTAAGAACTCAGAACTGCTTTGAAGGATCATGTATATCTTTCTTGAAAGCCTTATAATTCATATATTTATGGTGTTTTGAATTAACCTTTGTTGACTTCTGCCAAATGCAGTTAAGAATCAATCCAAGCACGACTATGGATTGGAACAACTACACGAGGGAGGTATGTACTGTACTAATGCTTTAATATTTGTACTACCATAAAAATCGTGGTGAAAACAAAATTGTAGAAATAGATGAAAGTATGTATACACGTAGAAAGCATAATGTAGGATGCATTTTACCACATTCAGTGGGTTCTCAACAGAATATGCAGGGAGACCAAGGAGTGTTCTTAGTAGGTGTGCCAGACCGTTCTGCCAAAACATTGAAGAAGGAAATATAAAATAACACTAACGAAAGAACAATAATTTATTCTTACTGTTGGAAGACATATAAAAAGGATGAATTAGTAGAAGTCTGTTATTCATAAGTATAATTTTGTGGATCTAAATACAGGCTGAAAAGCCTTTTTATAAATTGGGTGTGAACCCAAATTATAAAAAGGTTTTGGGGCACTGCAAAGTGGAGAAATAAAGTTCATCGTGGAACTTCACATAACCACTTGGAGTCATATTTAGCAGAATTTATGTGGCGTGCACACTATGCCAAAAATTTATGCCACATGTTTGATACGGTGAAAATTTATAAATGCTTCTAATCTTTGAAAACTTATAATCTTTAAATTTATATCTTTTTTTTATTTGTAATTTTATAATGTTAATAAATTAATGTCTATGTGAATGTTTCATTTCACATTTTTTTATTTTTTATAAAAAAGGAATAAAAACAATTGGCGCCCAGTAAACCGAAGAGTACCAATATTTTAATTTATAAATTGAATTGCCTTATAAATAATAATGAAATCGGAATGTTTTAAAATTTATTTTTCTGTTCTGATATAACGTAGAAATTTATTTTACAGTTTAATTAGGAATGTACGGCATGCGCACACATCATCTAACAAAAGAGTAGACAGAAATGGAGGCCTTAGTCTAACTTGTTTCAGTCTATTGCAAGACAAAGTGAAAACTTAAACATATAATATACTTACTTTTTGTAAGAAGTTAACTTCTATTAATTAAATAATACTGTATTTTTTGGTTTAAAAAATTGGGTGTAATTAATTTATATTTAAAAAATTCAGACTCAAGTTTCTATTGTTTGTTAATGTCATACTTTATCATCTAGTGTTTAACAATTAAGTAATATAATCTAAACAGATATAATTAAGATAATATTTTTATGTAATTTATTATTAATAAATTTGCAAATCTAAGTATAACACTTTTATAAACTGTTGTAAGCATGTACTTTTAATTAAAATAAAAATTATTATTATTATTGTTGATAGTAAAATTAACTCTTAAAATCAGAATAAACATAGAAAACGTGATAACTTAATCAGGAGAGTGGAATTTAATGGTTTCTGTTCATTTGGATTTATTTTTATAAAATAAAATTACTAAAAGTGAAATTGATGGCAAAATTAAGACATTGGACCTTATTATAACCAAGTGCCTCATTTGACCTCAACAATTAAAATAAGTGATTAGTTGAACCAGTCATTGATATTTAATATCACTGTAATTTTTCTGCCCAGGTGCTTCTGACTTTGATTATTGTTTTTTAAAAATAATCAATCATAAATTGAATTATTTATGGTCAATGAAATACTGTTAGGATACAGAAGTTATTAGTCATAAAAATCATTTTTATGAAATTTAATAATATATAGACTGATTGTAAAGTTCCCATATAAGAAATGGTATTCTGGTTCTACATCATATTGGATGTAGATCCAATATGGTGTAGCCTCCTCAAAGTCCAGACAAATGTACATGATTACAACATATGTTTATAATAGTATGTCAATTCATTTTGGGTGAGTTAAACAATTAAATATCTAGTTGAAAAAATTTTTCAACAGATATTTAATGTTGTAAAGCCAACAACTATCGGGACTGTTCTAAAGACATTATTTTCCAAATTGGTGGTTGAATGTCAAGAACAAATGTAGGAAAAAAACTAAATTTACAATGAGAATAAAAAGAGGGTACAGGTAACTTTAATTACACTGCATAGAGGTTCCACATAATAGATAAATAAGAGACATAAATAAGAGAGACTTAAAGAAAATTACATTNCTGGAATGCGCTAAACGTTGAACATTTCCACCTTGAACTTTAACCACAAACACACATTGCAGTCGATATTTGTTTAAAGTAGAATTATAATTACTTCGACAATTAAAATTGTACACGGAATTTTCACGATTGTACATAAGTTTTACTAAATGTAAAAATGTATTAAATTTCGTATTGGGCTAACTGTTTAAAGATTCGATATTTATCGTTTTTAGATTAATTTATAATTGCGTCTAGGCTCTAGGCACGAAAAAAGAAACTGTTGTTCGATAAAAAAATCTTTCACGTTGTGTAGACGGTAGACTAATCTACCGTGGAATGCAGTCGCTTATATATGCCACTATTGTCATCTACACCCACAAAATGAAGCTTTTTGCGTTTTATAATAATATAAAAGTTTTTAAAATGAAATCTCGTCACACAAACACAAATTTAACTTTGTACTAATGTGTCTCACTCGGTGTTTTTCGTGGGAAGAATTACGCAATTCGTTGCTGAAATTTTTACACGTTTGTTAGATTTCTAAGGTTTCAAATCATAACTTGTACATTAACTGTCGATCGTGTGTTGTGATGGCCAAAACCAGGTAAAACGCGTATAAATTAAAAATTATCTTTACGAATAATACGAGCGTTGCGAGGTGCGAGAATCGAATCCCAAAAATTCAAAAAAATTTGTCATATAATTCATTATTTTTAAAGTTTATTGTCGAAAGATTAACACTAAGGTGTAAGATATTTCTCGTATAAATTATCCTATAAAACAAAAGGCAGTCTACTGGCACAGCCGCGAGGTACTGTACGTATTCAAAATCTCGACATCGATCCGTGAGATGCTATCGGAAGCGACGTAACTGCTACATTTTCTAGAGAGAACAAACGCCGAGTGCCGAGAATTTCGGCAGAGAAAAACAAGAAAAATGGCGAACGATGTGGACTTCCACGTTACTTTAAATTTATTTTTAATTAAGCTTTTCTCGTTAAATATTTCGAAGAAAGAAATAGGGACGAAGACTTTTTAAATGTTCGCGGGAGCTTTAAATAATTAAACCAATCCTATGATTACACTTTAACAAGTAAAAAAAAATTATGTGATGTCTTAAGTAAATATACACGTATATTAAAATATTCTGTTAATGTACTAACCGAATTTTAATTTATTTAGGATTTATTCATCAACAAATTGAAAATTGTCAACGCAAAATACAGCTCTTGCCAGCTGGTGGTGGCTGCGTCTTGTTTGCTGGAAGCAACCGGAAGTCATCCGAGATTTCGAACAGAGGTGCTGGCTGCGCGTGAGATTTTGAATACGCCCGAGTTGACAGGTAGGTAGGCAATTTCTTCCAATGCAAAATAATAGACTTGTAACGAAAGCCTTCAAATGTACAAATAAGTTATTCGGTGATTTACTTATAAATGCTCTGTAGTATCCGAGCGTCCATCTCGGATTTTGACCTTGGATTGAAAACCAGAAATCGGGACATTGTGTTAAAATATGGTAGACACCCGGGATTAGGTTTGTACGTAGGTATTCTGGAAAATAAGCGAACGATTCTAATTTATTTTATTGAGTTTTCAGTTACTGAACATTTATCATCGTGTTACTAACTTGTAAATGTTTTTTAGAAAACCCGGTCGCCCCATTGTGGGCCTGGCCGAATCCGCAATGGGCTGGCTAAAAGAGACCCTCTTAGTGCCCACGGCGGAAAGAGTAAAAAAACCCGTGATGGACACGATTTAGAGAATACGTTCAATTTAGGAACACGGAATATCGGTATGGGTATTAGCCTAATTCCTAATATTGTTGTTCACGTAGGACATATCCCCTAATATTTTTTGTATTAAATATGGCAAACTGTCTTCTGCCAACATATTTTTTTAATACTGTAATAAATTCTTTTATATGAGCAATTTATCAATAATTATATCAATTATTGATGATAAATTTGTTTTCAGTTATTAATTGCATTTTACGTAATATTCAGTAATTAACTAAATCAAATTATGTTTGGATTTTTACAAAAATAACAAAGGCAAATTACAAATTGGTCTGCCAAATTATAAATAATTGTACAATTAATCTAGAACTTGCTGCCCAAAATTTAATAACAGCTTCAAATTTATAAATTGTGTGTGTGTGTGTGGTTTATTTGACACTTGAATGATGCTCATAGGATCATTTTTTTTTGTCCGTCTATGATTTTACATAAGCAACTATGTAAAGAAATAGCTGCACAAATTTCCAATTTTCTTAATTGGCCCCATGTGTACAATTTGATTTCTACGCAATTTTTGACATTCATTACTCGTCACCAATCGCTTCTCAAAATGAAAAAAATAATTATTATTATTAAGTATCATACAGAACAGGTCTAGTTTTTAAATTTCATGATTACAAATCTTCAAATATATATACGTATATGTATATATATATTTTTTTATTTTTAAATTGGTTTTAAATCATATATAACCATCAGAAAATATTTGCCAAGTGACCAATTGTTGTTCTGTTACAATTAAAATGTCAAAAAACGTTTTTTCTTTGTTACAGAAATTAAATTATGTTGTTTTAAGAAATATTTTTTTTGGTAAGGATCTTAATACTTCAAATAATCAAGTATTTCATGCTCATTATACTTAATACTGTAAAACTATTAATATAAATTTGTTTCAAACAATGATGATAATCAACAATTTACAAATATTCTTCTAAAGATAAATAAAACAGAAATTAAATACAGTATATAATGAAATAGAGAGATAAAATAATTTAATTTAAAATGTTCTTTTTTTTTCTCCCCCCTGATTTATTTATATATATAATATTTATAATATATAAACTTTTCAAAAAAATAAATGCAAAATTACATAAAAATGCAGAAAATTTATTTTTACTGAATTCTCTTTAATATACAGCTTTGTAGTAATATCAATCATTCCGGAATATTTTTTTATTGTTAAAACTTCAAGCATCGCACGACATTCGCTCTCGATACCAATCACATCAATAACTTAAAAAATTACGTCGCACATTCATACAATACATTTACTTCAAAAGTTCTGAGCAAACAAATGCTCTAATATAATATAATTTATAATAAACAAAAGGTAGCTTAAATGAATTTCTTTAGAGTGAGTACTGATCGTTATTTCAAATTCATGAACAGAAATCACAATAATTAATGGGTGCTGCCACGATGATGTTTGATTATCAATCAACACAGGTCACTTGGCAATAATTGCCTAAATAACTTAATGAATTAAACTGAAAAGTACTTATAAATCCTGTCGTCATGATCTGATCAAAATATACTTTGTACTGAAAATAACCCTGTGTAAATACAAGCTGTATTCGTAGCTACAGATGATTCAACAATAGAAATAATATCTAAATTCATCCTCGTTACTCTTTGATTTTTCTTTTTTGAATTTAAATAAAATATACAGTATTAAAATATACAGTAACAACATAAGCAAGACTATAAAATGATAACCTTCCATGAAAATGTTTTCAAAAATAAATTGAAGCTCCTGTTTCACTTCATACCATTCATAAGTGTGTAACAAGATTCTTTTTCTTTTCATAAATTTTGTTTGCTAAAAGATACTTTATGTCTCCAGACTATAAGGGTTCCTACATCACACACAGCAGACACTGACTATATTACCCAACACATCACAACAAGTAAATTACAGCATGGGGGTAGAGATGGCCTAGCTTATAACATTATTGTTCAGTATTGGTTGTCTGACAGCAATTATGGCACTGTTCACAATGAAGAAGCATCTTCGGTTATCAATCAAAACAATGTCATAAATTCAATTATTTTAAAAATATTACTTACATAGGGAGAATTCATAATAAATAATTTTAACTTGATAATTTTTTTCAAATTTAAATGATTTATATTCTACACATATATTTATATATATATATATATATATTCGTCACTNTATATATATATATAACTTCTAATTGAAAATATTTTATATTGTTAAAATTACAGTTCTATAATTAAATCATTTTTGAGTACAAACATTTGAATGTTTGAGCATTAATTTCAGTTTTTAAAAAAAATCATAATAATATACATTGGCAAAATATCTTTAAAGAGAACATATACTAATAAATAATGGCTGTTACACAACTACCTGTACGGTTCCATCTGCTGTAACTGTAGACTGTTGCAAATGCTGGGAATTATACATATAAATGACATAAAATGTACCCAATTTTGTTCTCACATTTGAGACCTTTATGCAAACTACTATATTTTTTCTTTTTTCTTTTTTTTTTGTCTTTAAGATGCACCATGTGTGCTTTGAAATCAATCATCTTTCCTGCATCTGAAGTATTTCAAAGCTTACCACCTGCCTTCACATTATGTTATGGACACCAAGAGGACACGGACTAGAAGTGACATAACAAGCGATCACTAGGTGGTCCTTCCGACTATTGATCATTTTTGTTTTTCGAGGACATTTCACACAGCAACCAAACAAAAACATACAAGGCATGGCTGTACAAGGTGGGCCAGTCATCTCTGTACAACATTGACTAGGTCTCTAACTGTATTTTGGAGGTCACAAAATAGTTTTGCACTATCGGTGGTATTATTACTGCTGCAAATCCGCAGATGTTCTCCTTGGCTTTCCAGTCGAGTCAGTAATTCACGAAACCGGAAACGACCTTGCGGAGGAATGTTTTCTGCATAGTTCCCACAAGATGAACGAAAAAGTTGCACCTTATCCGAAAGTTGAATAACATTCATACTACTGACTGTGGGAGAATTTTTCAAAGCAAGAATACTGTTTTCTAATGCACTGGATATTTCTAATATAGATGCTTTAGTGCTGGCTGGATCCAGTTCTATCTTTTCTTCCTTGGCACTCAATTGTTCACCAGTTGGACTTTCTGGTCCTTTTCCTCGTGGAAGCACCTGAGGTTTTCCAACCGTTTTGTTGAATTTTGTGCTTGGACCTGAAGGTAAAGATGGTCTTGTTCCTTTCAGAGGAGGTTTAACTGGAATCAATGGTTTAGAAATAACTGTGGAAGACTGAGCAACATTGATGTCTCCCCTGTCAGGTGATTCTCCCCTTTGTGGACTACTACTGAATACTTCGTCGGGTTTTTCAGTTATTGATTTTGAGAGCGGTGGTGGTGAACTCCTCCAAGGCCATAAAACTCTGTCTGTTTCGTCTTGCAAATTTTTATTTTCATCAGAATCCACACCTTTTTTCAATAAACGAGATTCTAATTGTTGAGCCATAACTTTGGGTGCTACTCTTCTTCCAACATCAGCTCTGTCTGCTTCATGACAGCCAGCTTCTTTTTCCCATAATTTTTTTAAACTACTTATACTCCCTGAGCTATGCCTTCTTCCTTCTTCGTCTAACTGAAGACTTGATCTTTCAGAACCTTCTGTTTCAATTTTTGTGAGATCTTTATCAGATAAAGTTTTAGATGATCCGACATCATCTTGTTTTTCATCTTCAAGTGATTCTGAAAGTCTGTGAGAATATTCTTCATTACAGGATCCTAACCTTTTATCATTTTCTATGGGGATATTATCACCTTGAAATTCAGTTTCATTTATAAACTTCTTTTCTACTTTGTTATCTGGCAGGTTTGTCTTTTCATTTTCAACTGTCTGAAGACTTTCAGAAATACCAAATGTTTCATTACAAGTAGTTTGCGAAGAAGCTTCTCCCATTTCTACAGCTCTTCTTCTTGCTTTCATTCTTAAAGTTTCAAATAATTCTGAAACTAGTTGAGCTGCTGGATTTTTTAAGGTATTTTCAGGATTTCTTATTTTAGTCGTCTTTGATAAATATCTGTTTTCATCATGCATGTAAGAAGATTGAAAAGTTTCTATTCCAGATACAGGGGGAGGGACAGGAAATTTAGCAGATGGCAGTGATGGTACATGAACGGTAGTAGCTTCCTGTTTGGAACAAGACTGATTATGGCCATTCATGGAATCTTTATTTCGATTCTGCTGTGGACTCTCTGATGTCGAACATGATGATGGAGTTGGGCTTCTCACACTATCAGAAGCAGTACTAGTAACAGGTGATCTCATACCTTGTCTACCTAGCTGTTCATCCATTGAACCACTTTTACTGAGAGACTGTTTAGGAGGACTTGGAGGTCTATCTTTTGGCCTGTTTTTTAATGTGCGACGAACTGTACTGGAACCAAAGGGCAAAGGTGAAGACGGTGATGGTGGGACACCACTTCTTTTATCTTCCGGTTCTCTGTATTTGGTGTTTATATTAATATGGCTAGAGTTTTCGTTATCTTCCTTTATGATTTTTACATCTTGAACAATCTCCATTTTATCATGAGAAGATTTCCTCTCAATTTTTTTACCACGAGGAAGTCTTGGAGATGGAACATGCTTCAATCCCCCCAGCTGATGCATTTCAGGTATAGACCCAGTTTCAAAACTTTCACTAACTTTATTATGTGTTAGATCAGATTTTTGTCTCTGTAGAAGTCCATGTGGAAATTTTTTTTGACAGTCAGCATCTTGCTGCCTAGGCCTAATAGTCGTAGCATATTTAGAAATACTATAACCCATTCCCCCACCATTCCCATTATCATGCTTGTCTCTAAGAGGTTCATCACAATCTTCATTTAGTTCATTAATTTCATCATTGTCTGCTTCAGGCACAGGTTCAGAACAACCTGTACCTGCATGTAAACCATGCTGGCGTAAAGATTCTAAATAAGCACCAATACGTGCACCTTTTGGTAAAGTTCCATACCTATTAATTGCTTTCTTGACATTTTGAACTTCAAGAGCAGCAATGTGAACCTTTTTTGTTTCAGAGTTTTTATTGGATGAATTAGTTTCTTTGGTACGTTGCTGAACATTTGGTGGATAAGTCCTTGCCTTTTTCAGTTTCTGTTTTTGTTGAGGTTGAGGCGGATTAGGAACACTTGACGTTGAAACAGCAGTTGGAGTCTCGGAATCTTCCGTTTCTGGCGTTCTTTCCTGCATATCACTTTCTGTTTCTCCCGTACTGCTATTCATTTCATGAAGTTCCTTGTTAATTGTTTCAAACATTTTTTCAAGTCCGTTCACTGTTTCTTTGGCACCTTCATTTAATTCATCAGGCAATTTGTCTTGATAAGTACTATCTCTAAAGGAACTGGTCCGTTTTGGTGGCGCTGGTGCTTGTTTACTCCGAGGTCCCGATCTTCGAAGCTGCACCACTGTTGACTTTGTAGTGATGATGCCCTGCTGTTTTAGCACAGCCGAACTTCGGACACCTGCTGAGAGTAACAATTTAATCAGAAGATTCTAAATTTACCATCAAACGAAGAACTATACTTTGGCAAAACTGATGCTGGTTTCCTTTATTTTACTGAAAGATGAATATTTATGCACACATTAGAGGCATTAGTTGCACTCACAGTTTATAGTTACTTGCCTTGTTCAAATTGCTGCCATTGATCAGCATCCTCAGCACTTATGCTTGGGGAATTTACCTGTTTCTTCCCAGAGGAAGGCGTCTGTTGTTCCAACTGTCGTTCCACTTCTGTAAACAGAATAAAGTAATTACTGTAAAATTTTATTGTACTATACAATCATTAAAAGAAGTATAAATAATGTATTTCTTCTATTAAAAATTTTATCCTATTTTCTTAATTTATTAATGATATATGTTTTTAACTCTTTTCTCCCTGTGAGCACTTTCAGGGTCATTAGATGGCTGAGTGGTGAGAAACAGAGACCAACGTATCCAGGAATTTCATTCTGGACGGGAAAAACCCAGCAGATTTAATCCTGGGTATCCCAGAATGGATATGCTGCCACTTTAACTGCTTGGCCATCTATTAATAATAACTAAAATTCTTTGCACTAGTGATCAAGTTTATTTGTAAATGTTTTAAGAGATTTACACCATGATATTTATTATAACAGAAGACATATATGTATGCATAAATTTCATAGCAGGAAAAAAGGATTAAATCAAATACAATTACTTTTGAGAATAATAATGAAGTAAAAAAAAAATTCCATGATAAATAAACGTTTTCTATAACTTTAGCCATCAAAAAAATTTCAGGTTAAATATGTTTGAAAAAGAGTACAGGTGAATCGAATGTCGTAATTTAAAGGAAAAGTCATCATCTTATTGATTGTTGATGTCATATATTTATTGCTGGACTTAAAAATAAATCTTCATGCTAGAGGGAGGGTGTTGCTATCCTTATAATTTATGTCCATATATAAGGCTTGTAAGAAAAATATGGCCATGAATTATAAGGATAGTAACACCCTCTCTCAAGTTTGGAAATCTGTATTTGTAATCCAGCAGTAAATACTATATATAATACCAACAATCAATCAGATGATATCTCTTCCTTTAAATTATGACATTAGATTCGCCTGTTTTTTTTCAAACTCTAGCTATCATCATCAAGTTAAAATATGTAAAGTTATCATAAAACATTTGTTTTTCTCATTAAATAATTTTTCATTTTATGCTAGAGCTTTTGTTATTTTGTTCTTCTATAATGTTTACATTTTACTGTAAAAACAGCAATGAGATAAATAAGAAATTCAAACATCCCCATTTAGTGATGAAGTGCATAATTGCCTTTTACTATAGCAACCAATGAAAATGCTCATTCTTTTCTGTTAAGCTCTTTCAGCTGTGTATTAATAAAGTTCTCTTCCTCCTTCAAGTACTCCACTCCTATAATAAAACACTATTAGGTTGTTGCAAATAAAATGGCCAATTTTTACTTCTAAATTTGAATGTTTATTAATTTAATTTAAAACTTACATATTCAATCAAAATTGAATCCACCAACATTAATACACTTTCCCAAAACAATACAATGCATTGCCCCTATATATATATATATATATAGGGGGTAATGCATTACAGACATGATGTGACAATGGCTTATATATATATATATAAGCCATTGTCACATCATGTCTGTAATGCATTACCCCCTATATATATATATATATATANTAGGGGCACCCTAGTGATAATTTTAAATTAACAATAAATTATTTTTATTTGTAATAGGAATTTATTTATACCATGAAATGGTATAAATAATTATTATATGCCTTGATTAACCTTGCTCCGCACATTTACAACATCCCGTGACTCAGTGAACGTTGCGCATTGACTCACGGGAAATTTGTTGAAAAAATGGAGCATACATTTAACATCGAGGTTTACCAGCAAAGGTAAATAAACAAATTAAACTATTTTAAAGTATTTATAGAATCTTTAATAACACTAAATAATTATTTTTAATTAGCATTGTGTCTCCTACCATACGATAGGACTACCTCATACTTTTGTTGAACAATAAATTATTTTTATTTGTAATAGGAATTTATTATTTATACCACGGAGAATAATTAAAAAACAAATAACAATTCATATGTTAAGTGGATCAACTTGCCTCATGGGAATTTGTAAAGAACACCCATTAGGGAGCATCCCGGGCTACTAGTTTGATAGAAATCACAAGAATAACAAGCCAAAACATCATTAAAGGTACTTTTTATTGCATCCTCTTCCTTGAAGACTTTCCTTGCCAAAAAACTGTCCAAATGTATAAAAAAGTGATAGTCTGTTGGAAAAAGTCTGGAGAATAAGGTGGATGGGGAAGAATTTCATTTGAATACTTTCATTTTTGTGACAAATAATTAAAGAACTACAGACTTCCAAATGATGCTCCTTATGTCTCTCACTGCATTTGTGTAGTACCCATTTGTTGAGTTTCTTGACTTTCCCTAGCATGTTTAGATGGATGTCAAGAAATGGTTGAATAATGTCTGGTGTGTTCAACCTTTCCACGATTTGCCAGACAGTCAGATGATGATCAGATTTGATGATGATGATCAATTCCGATTTTTGAGATTTGTATTCCCAGTATGATATTTTTGAACCAATGCCTGGTGGCCTGCCTACTTACAGAACCTTCACCAAAAGTTTGTTAGTATTTCGGGTTGCTTTGGATGCATTATGTCCCTGTTTATACCCAAAAAAGAAAATTATTCAATTTTTTTTTTTCCATGTCATCAGAAAAAGTACTCTTAAACATGTGAAACTCACAATATAAATGAGATTACATTTTTAAATTCACATATTATGTGTGTTCTTCTAATTGAAAACATGCAACAGTGTTCACATGGAAAAAAGTTTTTTTAAAATTTAAAGTTACCGGACTTGCAGTTCAAGGTTGGTAAGTTTAAATTAAAAAAAAATGGCCATTTCATTTGCATTGACCCAATATACTGGTAATGTGAAGCAAGATCTCTTAGCTGCTTTGGGCCCCTGTGCAATTGCACAGGTTGCAAACATGGTAGCTACACCACTGTTTCTTATATGGTCTGCCGAAAACATGCACCTTATTGTCAGCATCTTCATCAAGACAAAAAAATTTTGTGTTGACAAATTCAAGAGAAAGTAATGCTTGTGGCTTTTTTGATGTGAAAAGCACTTTCACATGCACTAGCACAGTGCATGATGAGTTTTTCCAATGGTAGGCCTGTTAACAAGGAGTTTTACATTGGCATTCTTAGACACCTCTGTGATTCACTAAGAAAAAAATGATCTCATCTATAGTAAGCAAAAGCTGAATTCTTTATCATGACAAAACCCCAGCACATTGTGTTTTTCTATTTTAATGGATATCTGTTTTTAATTCATTAAAAACAGATATCCATTGACAAATGGATCTGTTTTTAATTCATTAAAAACAAATATCCATTGACAAATCCAAAATATCTGTATTTTCACAGTTTTTTAACTCACTTGACCTTCTTCCTACAGACATTCATCTTCATCAAAATGAAAACTGTACTAAAGATTCAGAGATTCAAATCAGCAGCAGAGAGGAAAAAAAATGCTGCAATAATTGCATTCAAAAATGTACAACAGAATAAGCTGAAAATCTATTTTAATAAGTGATATGAACTTTGGTAGTGTGTAGTTGCAGAAAGTGATTGTTCTGAAGATGGTCTTCTGTAAATATTTGCACAATTAATATGATGACAGTTATATTAAAAGTTTGGTTTATTTTTGACTTTACTATATATTTATATTCTTTTTCTTGGAACAAATATTTTAGATTTAAAAAATGGAGGTCACATTTCCCTTCAACAGAAGTAACAACATTGGTAAAAGAATATAAAGATAACTTGTAATAGATTTTTTTAACTATAATAAAGCACAATACTTGATTATAAAGATTGGAATTCTTTATTTCAGTATTCTATGATTCAGCAACTCCCTTGATCCAACTCTGCTTTTACAGTAAAATTGTAATGTTTTATAAATTTTTTATAAATATTTAATAAATTGTAAAATTCTATGTAGTCTGTACTGTAGTTTTAGTTGACAGAAAATACATGTTTGAAAATAAATGGCAATGGCTATTTTCATAGAATGTTCATAAAATTATGAATTTCAGTATTACTGTTTTGCAAGAAATCCTTATTGATAAAATGAAGTCAGTTTATTTTATGTTTGATGCATAAAAATTAAACAAAAATTCACTTTGGTTTGAGTTTATGCAATAATTACAAAATTTATATTTGTAGACTAGTGATGATATCATTTTTTCATTTTAGTATTATTATTTTACTTATTAAATATGTGTGTATGTATTAATAAAAATTATTACCTTCTGTAATACTAGAATTCTGAAACATGGTTTCCAAAGTATGATGGATATCTTTAAAAGTTGGTCTCTCCATAGGATCCCATAACCAACCTAAAACAAAATATGATTTTAATAATGAATTAAAATAAAAAAATTGATTATTTAATATTTACCATAATATCTTCTATTACAGCAAATTAAATAAATTTTAGAGATAAAAAATTAACTAAAATTTTCTCAAACCGAATATAACTGATGGACTTAGTGGAAAAATGATATATCCTGCTAAACCACAAAAACAAGTTACTGTATTAACAAATTTAGATTTATGCATCATCTATCCATCTACTAAGAAACTTTCACTGTTCAGTTGCATGGACCATGGATTACAAATCCACATTAATAAAATATTGTGAATTAAAGTACTGGTGAATTCCTCATTTTCTTCTCAAAAACTTCTTAATGTGATATATGCTGTTTTTTCACCAAGTCCTTCAAAGAGAATCTTGAACTTTATATATTTTTAAACAAATTAACAGCAATTTCAATATCTTAAAAATCTGTTATGACAAACAAAAAAATGCAGAAAGACATTTAAAATTATTTATGTATCATTATATAATGTGACCTCTACGTGTATTTGATTTACATAAATTTGATACAACTAAATATCTTCTTTTATAGCTTTTTCCTGTTTACAAGACAAAATATTTGATACAAAGAATGTGCAAACTGATATTTATGAGAGCAAAATTATTCCCACATGCTCCAGTTAGATGGCTCATAGGTTCCAAATCTCCATTTTTTTTTTTCATTTCATTCACAGTGTGTTTTCAATTGCAGAACAACAGGTGCCTCCAAGAGACTTGTAACAATCAATTCCTTCCCAAGCAACTGGTATCTTCTTTTCTATCAGTGATTACAATTTTAATAATTAAAAAATTACTTTTATTCTTGCTTATTGTCTTAACTAACTTTTGTTTTCTAACCATTAAATAAAGAAATATAACATATATTTGTTTCCTTTATGCCATATTCAGTTTTCTCATTTTGTATCAGCAAATAACCTAATGAACACTTTCACTTTATTTCATATAATTATCAATCAATCAGTGATTCTAAGTCTTTTGTAACACGTTAATGTTAGAAGTTGCAGCTTTATTATTTCTATGTTAACAATGTAAAAAAAACCTATTTTATGGAACTACATAAGTTTCTCTAGTACTTTCATTTTATATTGTCAATGTTTATATATAAACCTCTCAAAACCAATTATTATTAATCAGAGATGACACCTAATGCCTACCTATGGTAACAAATTACTTGAAATTTACTTATTAATAGTAACCGAAAAATAGCCCAATGCATTACAGCGATTGTCTGACATTGACTTTAATCAATGTTATCCAACTAGCAGCCTATCAGATCAAATTCTCTTGTTCCTTAACTCATTAGTATAATACCAGTGGGTGCTTGTGTGCATTCTTAAAAATCAATGTTTTTCTTACATCAGAGCTACTGAATGAACTAGTTCTTTAAAATGTTCCATTTGATTTGTATAATCTCCAATGTCTCAGTTTGGTCTCATGTCATAACTAAGGTCCAGATTTTTGGGTGCATTTTTAGAATAGATTGGGTGCTTGTTTGGGTGCTTTTCAATGCTGTATTATTAAGACAACAACCAACAAGTAGTATTATATTTACACATAAAGATAAGCATTGTAATTTACAACAGTAACTATTTCAATGTTCTTAAATGTGAAGTTTTCTCGTTTGGAGGATAGAATGTCTTTATATAAGGAAAGAGATTTTTCTACGTCAACCAAGACTAAGGGTGCATTGTTTCATTTTTAATTGGAATTCTAGTTCAGTGAAATTCAAAATATTTTTCAAATCGGGATTTTTTGATAAATTAAATTTGAGTTTGTCCGGGGCAAAACTGTCCAGTACATCAAGCACCTGACTTACAACATTCCACTGATCCTGATTTTTCAGTTCCATGTCTTTCCAGCTTGTTGATTTTATCCACCAATAACTTATATGAATGCATGGAGTAGAGCACTGTGGTCACTACTGGATCAGTGACCAGTTTTTTGACACTGTTAACAACCACAGAATCACCAGGAAGAAGTTCGTTGATAAATGCATTAATTTTCTCAAAGTTCTTGCAGTAGAATACCACACTGTTTATCCAAGACCACCAACGAGTAACCACTGGACTGGGTGGTAATGGCAGCCCAGTTATGTCTTGGTACAAGTGCTCCCGACTAGGGCACTTGAAAAGAACCATTTTCATTTCCGAAATGAAGTTGTTGGCCTTGCTATATTCTACATGAATACATTCACATACTCGATGTAGGGCATGGGCAAGACAAGTCACATGCTTTAGATTGTTGTAGATGTACTTCAAATTTGAGAATGCTGACAACATGTAAGATGCTTGATCTGTAACGACAAGCTAAATCTTTTTGTACTGAACACCATTTGGCCACAATTTGATGCAAACATCATTGAAAGCTTAGGACATTGTAGTTGGTACATTTTGAAAAACATTGGTTGTACATAGCATCCAGTCAGTGGTGCAACAAGAACATTCAGCATGTACCGTTTTGTGGAATCCATTGTTTTGTCCAATATAAACACTACAGGATTGTCTCCGACAATGTCCAAGATTTTAGATATTGTTTGATCATAAACTGGTTTCACATAGTTTTTTCTAAGAGTGCTCTCGTTGGGGACAAGCTTTCCTGTATATTTCTGGAGAAATGACTTAAAGGTTAGATTGTTTATCTTATATAAGTGTATATTTGTCTGCAGAAGAGCAGTCGCTAAATCTGCATAAAATGTATTATTAGCCTTCTGAGATTCTTCTCCTCTTTGAAATGAGGCCCCTATAAATGTCTGCTTGAAATTTCTCCTTTTCTGTTTGCCGAACTCATGTGCCACCTGATTTTCATTTTTCTTGGTGTTTCACATCAATCAAAATCACATAATCGCAAATAAAAAGTTCTTCACTGTTCCGTCTGTGCACATGCCTTCATCTTTAAACTTATTTGCTAAAATGTTCAGTTTAGATGAGGACAATTTTGCCATTTTCTAATACTGCCGACACAGAACAAAGGAAATTGGAACTATTGTGCTCAGAAGTCAAGGTAAGGTGACCTCAATACAGAATTTTTTAGATTGTTCTTTTCTTAGAAAAGAAAACACATGTTGCAGATTTTCAGTGAATCTGTTTATATTCTTAGAACAACCCTAAGGCTTAGTTGTTCAGTCCAGAAAATTCCCCTTTACCCCCCTTTCTCTCAACAAAAGAAGAGAGTAAGCTAATTATTGTATTTTTTCCTCAGCATACGTGGTCTGGTTTAACAGATTTGTTTTTTTCTCACTCAAATGAATGAATAAAAACCACCAAAAAAAAAAGAGATAATTGTCAACATATTCTTTGAAAATGTAAAAAAAAAAGGGAAAGCTGGGTGCAAAATATATAGTTTGGGTGCTAGTCACTGTTTTGGGAGATGGTTTGCATTTTGGGTGAATTTGGATGCTTAACAATTTGGCAATGAGTGGGCCTATTGCACTAAAACTGACGTAATTTGTCTTTTACATGCTGCCCCTTTCAAAAACCGAGTGGGTGGGGCACCCAAAAATCTGGAACTTAATCAAAACATATGACTACTGACGTGATTTGGCTTATATGCTTTTCGAAACGCAATGTTAGTTTCTCATACCAATTTGAACTTTCTTGTTTACTGATGGCAAACTTATCAAAATGTTGTAATTAGAAACTTACCATATGTAAGTGGGCTTCAATAAAATATTTTGTTTTATATTGTTAACTATGTTTTTTTTTTTAAAATATGAGTACAGTAATGAGACTTATTCCATAAAAACAATGGAAAAGATTGTAAATCAAACCTCTTAAATAAAAACAAGAAGATTTTCTGAATGAAATACATTCATAAATCAGTCCCACTATATCATATTTATATATAATTTAAAATAGAAATTCTTATAACTGCTTTTTAATTAAACTTTTTCCAATTACTAAAATGTATCTATTTTCTAATTTAGAAATCTATTAATATCTGATGTATATGAGTATATTAAAAATTTTGAAGCTCAAAATATAACAATTCACAATTTCTTTCCTAGCAATTTTAAGTTAATTAATTAGTCATTGAGAAAACTGATGTACATTGATTGTACAAGATACATTTTTGTGATCGTTTTAATTTTGAAAAAAATTAATAGGAGACAAATGTGTATTTTATAAAAACTATAAATTGGAATGAAAAAACAGGAAACAATGTGTTATCTAGTTCAAATATCAGTCTGATCCAAAATCATAATGTGATTATTTTTAAGGATCGTTGCTGAAAAGTGTAGAGAAGATGTTGTGTTAATTAAAGAAATTTAAAGAAATTAATATCAGTAATTTATCAAAAAAAAAATAATGAGCAAATCATTTATTGTGATATTGTCACAATGCCAGACTGCAATTTTTAATTAATTTAATTTAAAATATATCCTCACCACCTCAATTTAGTAGTGGCTTGCCCCTGTACATCATACTTTTCCTTTAACAATACAGCTGTGCCAGTCATCTATCTAACACTTTTCAGGAGAAAATGGTTGAATTGAAATAATGTGACTTCCAATACAAACTGACAGTGCGTAAGGTTTCCATATCTGGTCTCATCTTTCATTCGTCTAACTCTATTCTCAAGATTAAGGAAAGATAGACAGGCAGATGGACAACAGTGGGAATTTATAGGTCTACAATTTTTTCAAATTGCAGCCCAACAATGTATTATCAGCAAACCAATAATTAGCATTTATTTGTTATTTTTGCCAACAAATGACATTATGTGTAAACCCAACAAATTCAATGTAAACAGAAATTAATTGATACATATAAAACAAATGAATGTTTTGGGGTAGGATGTATGACATTATTTAAGTTAGAAGTATGTTGATGTAACTGCTGAGTTTCATAGCAATTGGTCAAATGGTCTTCTAGGAGTGTATAGCAAACAAACAAACAAAAACATTCTCATTTATAAATATAGTTTCATTTTAACACAATTTTGGAAATCTTCCATACAAAATTTAACAATTTTTTTAGTGCAAACTCTGCTATTTGATATTTTTTTTTTATTCAAGTAAGCATGTGTTTTGTCTAAAATTGGCCCACAGATTTTACAATATTGAAATTTTCAATTTGTTTTGTGCCTTTCATCAGGTTTATTTTAATAAAAAGTGATAGTGCAATTTTTTTCTTTCTTGTCCTAGCTTTCCTATCAACCAGGTGTCGTCATTGCTTTCACACTGTCACTGTGTTTTGATTTTTATAGATTAATCTTCATATTTAGTAAAGTTTATTTAAACATGTTTAGATTAAACTTTTTTAATTGTAAATAAGTAATCATTCATAAAAATGACAAACAAAATATAGCAGTATCTTGGTACTTGAACTGTTCCCAACTCAAACAATTCTGTATTCAAACACAAATTCTGGAAAAAGTCACTCGGTCCTCAATTGAACAAATGTAACCCACTATAACAAATTTTTTATTAACAACATATTTGTCATACATAAAAAATTTTTATGTATGACAAAAACATAAAAAAAATGGTGTTGCTGATATTTCTAATCAAGATCAGCAGTAACACTCAAAAGGCGATGACACTTTCTAAAAAGAAAAGGTCCTTGTTTAACTAAAATTAATATTAATGCGTAATACACTACATTTAATTGCAATTGTTAGTTAATTATTGATTGCTTTAATAAGCATATTTCTCTTACTAATGAAAAAGAACAGTACACTTTTGTTTACTTTGCATTAGTCCTTTGTTTCATATAGCATAGATTTGCATAACATAGCACTTTATTGGAATGTAACTACTGCATTATATGAAGAATATCTGTATATTCAAAAATAATAAAAAGAAATTTGAATTTATTTCTAATTAAATTTTTGTTGAAAAAACTAAAGATGAGTTTTTATAAAATAAAATTTTAAATTATATTTGCCAAAATTATCCTTGATGCATAACTGAACATGAACTGTACTAATAAAACTGAACAAACTATGAACTGTAAATAATAAAAGGAGATAATATGTTATAACATTAAACTTATCTTTAGGCTTTAAATCTTTGTTTTCTTATTATCACTAAACAAATGTATCAAATATAAACTAATTGGCTACTCAAATTCTTAATTTTTATTTCACTGTCAAATTATGTGTACCTTTAATACCTTTAGTAAAAGAGATTAGAGGGCTGTCTGATTTTCAGTATCGGACTTAGCCTTATAGAAGTAGGAAAGAAGAGAAAGCATGAGATACGAAGTGTGAAAAGAAAGGAAGATAGGAAAGTGTGAAGTAAGAGATTGGTATTTGGAGCGCCCGTTCCGGCATTTATTAAACATAAAATAATATTTACAATATGTACAGTATGGCTATTTGCCGTATAGAAGTAACTTGATTACAAATGGTCCCGACAATTTTTAAACATAGTAATAAATAATGTACAGAATAAGTTAATATAACACGTATGTAAAATATTCCAAATATATTGTCCACATCTCGTGGAAAAAAAAAAAAATTATGTGTACCAAAATTTGTGTTAAATTTATTGATAAAGATATTGAAATTTATGTTATTCTTATATGAAATTTTTATGACAATCACAAAATAGCCAATAAATATGGGTTTGATTGATTAAATATAGTGAACAACAGCCACCGACGAGAACAAAAAAAAAATGGTTTCAGAAGTTCAGAGGTTATTTCGTATATGTTTCAAAAAGAAATGGTTCCTGAAAAAAAATCACAGCCATTTAGAGTTGACCATTATTTAAGATTTGGCTGTATTTTAGGATTATATCAAACAGATTAACAAGTGACAATATTATCAATCTGTAGTAGCTTATAATTTGATTAATTTAATTACTTTATTAATCTGATTCTAAAACTAATAAAAAATGTAACTCTATAATTATGTTGAATTATATCTGATATATTATAATTAATTATTCTGAATATTCTTAGTAAATAAATAAAAGTCATACAGTGTTCTGCCAGATAAATTCTTCGATGAACACCATCCAGAATAAGAGAATTTGTGTCATTTTTATCTCCTTATCCTTCAACATTCATCAAATTGGTTAATTATTATACAAATAAGTTTTGTATAAAAGTTATCATCAGCAAATATATAATAAATAAACATATTATTGAATTCTAAATGTGTTGAATTGAAATTGAATTCTACTTTCTATAAATGAAAACAAAATATTGTAAAAAGTTGAAGTAAAACTTTTTACAATATTTTACAATTATTCATTTTCAATCAAATTAAAACTACTTGTACTAACTGAAATAAAATTATTTTTAGCATCTAAGTTCATTATTGGCAATTTAAAATGGATTTGCAAGAAAAATTATTATTATATTTTATGTATAATGAATGGTTTCCTTTCCATAATTTTAGATGATAAGAAGTCTAGACACTAACAATAAACAAGTTCATTTAAAAATATAAAAAAGCAACTGGATAAATATTCAAAAATCAACAGAGATATCTTACATATCCAGCAAAAAGCATTTTAACGATAATATATTCAATGACCATCATCAAGCTATCATAACATAAAATATGAATTAATTATCAAAATATAATTTTTGTAATGTTCTATTTAATATTCAGTTTGTATTTTACATTACTGCCCAATGATTGTCACTTAATACAACAAAAAAATGATGTTATCAATAAAGTGTTTTCTGTTGGATGTGTAAAGTGTCAACTTTGATTTTTGTTTATTTAAAAATAAACTTGATTAGCAGTTTTTAATGTTTCTGATTGAATTTATGATCAAGCCCAATATTGAAAATATTGAATTTGTTCCTCAATAAGTATACAAATTACCATATTGGCTTGAATATTAGTCAGTATCTCTTCCCCAGATTAAAAAAAAAGCTCTCAACCTATACTTGGGCCTTGAGTTATATTCAAATCTGATTAAAGTTTTCTTTGATTTTGATAACTATATATGGTACACACTGTATAGCATTAAACTGACACTAAAATTCAGTGCATCAATTGCTTGGTGATAGTAAATGCCAGCAAAGTTGTGACCTGTCATGCTGATGTATGCTGGAATTAAGTATTTGGCATGATTTTAAATAATCAATTAGTTGATTGTTTTTATTGTACTTAACAGAAGCAGTTTCAGTAATTTCTATAACAAAATAATTTTTGGGATAAAACAAAGTATTTAAGATCATTAAATAACAAAAATACTAAATTACAGCTTAAATTTATTTTATATATATTATTTTTTAAAAATGCAACTTTCTTATATTATTTAAAAAAAAAATATCTAAATTTTATTGTACTTAAGTAAATAAAATAATCATAAACTACAATTTACTTTCCACTTAAAATAAAAAGTAGATTAATTTTAGTGAAAAATGCTAAAATTATTCTGTAATTTTAAAATATTGAGAATTTATCCCTGATGACAAGAAACAAAAGTTCAAAAGCTTGGACACACAAAAATTAATACTATAGTGGTAAGAAAATAAGAATGAAGTCAATAGACTAGATTCTGGATATGTGTCACTTCACTGCCATAGCCAAATAATGAAACCTTGGCTTCATTCCTTAGCTATCTATGTACTACATAGTGCAAATTTTTGCCACATAGTGATATTTTTACCATTCTGGAAAAATAAATCAGCAACTGGCAATAATATAACACTTGCCATGAACTAACACTCACACTGATTGCAATGCTCTTTTAGTAGTGCTTGTATGGATTATCAGAATTGCTATGGGTTATTTTTGTAATGACATCCAGCCTCTGTTTCAGTTTCATTTTTAACAGTCAAAGAACTGCAAATGCATTTTTCAGAATACACATGAAACATGCAAGTAAGTCTATTTCTCCTGCTGTAATGTATATGCCAAGCAACCTACTACTCAGATTATAGTATCTCAATTTTGCTCTGTAACTTTTATTAATTTCATTTTTATTGTTATCGAGAGAAAAGAAGCTAAGTTACAATTTATCATGCATAATATTAAGTATCCAATACATACACAGTAGAGCATCATTTATCTGAATCAATTGGGGACTGGGGTTGTTCAGATAACTTATTTTTTGGATAACCGATTATGTACGAAAAAATATATTAACCTCTCCCACGTTGAAATTTTTCTCCGTTGCGTGTCGCTTCGTGTTGAATTTTCGTCGATGTTAAGCCTAACGAAAACTTTTTAAAATACTAATTGTGGCTATTGTATCATTAAAAATTATGTTTTTATTTTGTACAAATAAAATAAATATATTGAAAAAGATAAAAACCAAAAAAAAAAAAAAACTTTAGAAGTTGATCTAGTATCAAAAACGTTCGATTCAGCATGATACACAGTCCTCAGAAAAACACCACACAAAAGTGCCAGTGCTGCCAGCTAAAATACACACACACACAAAAAAAATATTGGAGAGCCCAAGATACAGCCAAAGATTGTAGCACCACAGCACTAGCGAAAATTTAAATTTGTCGACTGGAATGCTTTCGGATAACCAGCATTTCGGATAAATGACGCTCTACTGTATTTCTATCTATAAAACACAAACTCTTTGAGTATAATATTCCATTTGACTAGGTATGTTTTAAATACAATTTGTAAAAATTATTAAGAAAGCCATCAAAAATTTATTTACCTGATTGATTCATAGATGTTTCTAAATACAAATTCAAAATTAAAAAAAATATTTAACTAAAGTAACTTTAAAAAGAAAGAAACATCAGATTAATTATGAAAATTAGCCTTGTTCAGTTACAATTGCATAGATAAAAAGTAATAAAAATTCCATATATTCTTGTAAAAGTTAAAATAATAATAAAATTATGAAAGATTGTGGTGAAGACACAATTAAAAAGGGCTTTAAAAAATATTATATTAAACAATGACTTGAACAAAACAGAGGATGACTGAGAGTTCAAGAAGACTGAAGATCATGATGACAATGAAACTTTTGATGAGAACAAAATTGATAAAATTTGTTTCAATCCAACTTTCCAATTTTTTAAAATGCAAATTACAAATTTTTGTTCGCAAATAAAATTAATAAAAGGTCACCTCATATTTGGATCCTAATGTTTTCAAAAAGTAAGGATCCAAAATTGGATATCAATTTCTGTTCAGGCCAATATGGTAAATATATTTCAGTAAATGAAATGAGCATTATACTATAAATAAGTATGATTAAAGTATGATGCTTCATCAACATCTTTTTGAACAGTAATATATTCTCAGAGTAAAAGTGAATGAATTATCTAACATTGAAATATCACAAATAATAGTTCTTGATATTCTTCAAACAATTGAATTAATATTGAAGAAACNTGTTTTTAAAAACCATTTAAAAGTTGTTTTGAAATTTTCAAATTGTATATTAAATTTATTTTTAAGATTTTATAGCTTTAGTTTATGTTTTACTGTTTTTATGGTTTCCATTACTTTGTCAAACATTATATCATGATTTTGGTTCTTTCTGTTAACAATAAATCAATCCCCATTGTTTATAAAGCTATAAATAACTTTAGCACATGATACGAGAACTTGATTGGAGACTATACATCATACAAGGATGCAATCTGAGGCTAGAACAATTACACCTCACATCCCAAATCTGCATTGGCACATTCATACATCACTACACTAAACAGATTTCATTGTGAAACCCCAAAGTTTTGTTGTCGGGAACATCTGTATTAGGGTAAATGGAAAAATGCTTTGTTTACCTAATTCAGCTTATAATAGAAATGTTTTAGGACATATCAGAGATTTATGCAAATTCCACTGTGATCTAAAAGCAAATAAAATTCAATAATATTGAAATGATATTAATTACATTCATTTCAAAAACTAACAAAATTATTATAAAATTTAAAATTCAAATAAAACAGGGAGAAAATAAAGCTGATTCCAACAGCAGCATACAGAGAAGGGTCCGTTGTGGGAGTGACTTCATCAAATGTGGAACTTTTCGTCATTGAATGAACATTTTTTGTTGTTCATTGAAATTTTTAGGAAATTAAAATATGATGTGATCCTGTTTTTTTTACAAGTTTTAAGAAATTTGTAAAATAATCAAATAAAACAATTCATATTTGTCATAATCTCATGTGTTACTTCATCCAGTCATTTATATTCATCAATGATCTTATCTATTATTATAAACAGCAATTTGAGATAACATAATATTCATTGCCGATGCTTATTCATTAATTTGCAATATTTTCATTTAATTGTCATGCTTTTATTCAATCTTTTCTATCTCTCTCTCTCTCTCTTTTTTTTTACAATATTAAATATACTCAATCAACAATATTTTATAATTTTTTTTACAAATATATTATTGATCAATTGTTCTGTATAATTCTGGTATATTTTGCTATCTATACAGATGTTGCATTAATGTACAGAATTTTAATGATGTATTACTTATCTTACCTAACAACTGGACCAAATTGGGATGTTTCATTTCTTTCATAATAGAAGCCTCTTCAAGAAAATCCTTTAAAGCCATGGTATCTTCCTAATTAAAAAAAAAGTATATCTAATATCATGTCAATAATGATTATTGTAATTATTTAAAAATGAAATTTTAATTACTTTTAGAGTCTTCACTGCTACAGTCATGTTATATCTTTTCCACACAGCTTCATAAACATCACCATATTGACCACCACCTAACTTATGTTTCATCACAATATCTGTTCTATCAATTTCCCATTCATCTGGCTCTGGACTTAATGCAAATACTGTAGGTTTATTTCGTTTGGGAGCTGGATAAAGCAGCATTGTAATTAATCCATCAGCATGCATAGAATGATGATGAACTAATTCAGCCAAGGTATTAAACCGACATTCTGAGGTCACATAAACCTTAAAATATTATGTTTTTATTAGATAATCTTAACAATATTAAAAATAAAATTAAAGAAATTTTTTAAATGATAAATATAAATTTAAAGAATATATTTTAAGTTTAAAATATAAAAACATAATAATCATGAAATTTAATATTCTAAAGTGAATCTTTTATTCAAAGACACTATACAAAATAAATATTAAGTGAAAACATTTAACAGGCAAATTAAAGTATTGATTAAATTCTTTCATCAAGTACATAAAACTAAAGCATAGAGTTATGAAATAAAACATTTTCTTTGTAAAAGTTCAATTACACTGTAAATGATCAAAATATAATTATCTAATAAAAAAGAAATTATATTTAAACAAGGAGAATAACTTGATGTAAAAAGGCACTAAAGAATATTTTATTTCTTTGTGAGCACTTTCGATGCTGTTAAGAACGTCGTCTTCAGCACAGCTTCAAATCACTTGTAGAGAAATAAAATATTCTTTAACACCTTTTTTATGTTGAGTTATTCTCCTCGTTTATGTACATTTGTCGGAATGACATCCACCTTACACATTTATATTACTTTACAATAAATTATATTATATTCAAAGTCTACTAAGTATCTTTCTTATGCTTTCATATGCTAAAAAACTGCAGATTTTTAGTTAAATTAAACAACATATTAGCTATAACTAAGAGAAAATGACTTCCAACACCTTAACACTGCGTTGAGTAATAATAATCCACGAAACCTTATTTTACCAGTGTTATGTCCGTAACAAACTCCACAAATGCTTTCGACCTCCACCGAGGTCTGCTTCAGGTGGTGACTGACTGTGTTTCCTCCTGACCATCGTAATGATGTTGCCAGAGCTGTAAATAATTGTGTTTATCGGGTTTCACCCCTTCGACTGTCCCTGTTTGAATTCCTCAAACAAATACCTCCACGCCTGCGCAATCATTTCACCATCTTTGAAGTTGATTCAGGTGACCCCACTGTTAGCTTTATGTATCTCCTAGGCCTCCAGGTGACTGATGTGATCAGTATGGAACGCTTGTCTGATTAGTCTGATGTTCAGGAAGTCCGCCCATATTTCAGGGTCAGTAACGTAGGTCGATAAGGCGGCGGTGTGACTGTTATTTTTAATATCCACTTGATGTTCACATATCCATTTTTGTGTTGAGCAGATGATGGAGCTAATGTAAACCAAGTCTCTATTGAATCTATCGTCCCTGATGGGAATGGAGTATACACCTGGGGCCCATAACACTGGTAAAATAAGGTTTCGTGGATTATTAGCTATAACTAAATAATGTTATATTGAATTTAGATCTGCCAAATATAATTTAGATAAGAATGTAACAGAACAAGCATTTTTCTAACAACTCAATACTCATATATTTAATCTTAAAATGTTTTATACAGGATCCCTTGCTTTATAATGTGTTATTGAATTAAGGTCCTACTGATAATGATATAAAAGTTAGAACTTGTATCATCATCAAAAGTTTGTTCAAAATGAAATAAATAACTGTATTCAAGTTTGACAGCAAAATATAAACATATCTAAATTTTTTCAGTAAGTTTTAAAATGCTAGATTAGCCAATTAAGAGTGTGTATCATAAAATCTGCATAAATTTCAAAGTTGTTTAAAATTCATTATTTATTTTAAAATAAGGTTTTTTAAAATGTTAGATTAGCCAATTAAGAGTGTAAAATCTGCATAAATTTCAGTTGTTTAACATTCAGATGAGATGATCAGGACTGATCGGCTGCAACTTGAACTTTCATCTTAACCAGTTGTATTAATCTCTTGAAGTGGCAAACTTGGCCTTGAATACAAATAATGACTAGTATTTACTAGTTAACTTTAAATAAACTATCTTCACAAAACAAAAACCAACAGAAATGATAAAAACTCATGTTTGGTCTTGATCTGAACAGGATCAAGGCCAACTTCACAGATCCAGTTTCCCAGCCATTTTCATAAAAATTTTGCTTCAGTTGGTAAAAAAATCTCTCAATTGGTCTCAGTTGTGAAACATTTGGAATATTGATTTCAGAGGCGATGTATTAAATTCTATAATAGACAAACTAGACAACTGTGACATAAGAATAATGGGCACTGTACATGTCTGGTCAGAAGACATCCTTGATTATAGTAGTATTTTGTTTAGAAATTGTAATAGCCTCTTCTGAATGCATTCATTGTCATACACTTCTTTGGTGATGGAACACTGTGATGGGACAATAAAGGTGTAAATGTCCATTTGGACTGAAAGCCAGCCAAACCAGATGCTTCAATGAAAACTTGCAGTGTCATTTAAATTTGACTTCAGGATCCACATCTAACCCTTCTTTGGTGAAACAGTGACTGTTACCAGCACATTCATTTCTATCAAAAATGAAATACGACTTGTCATCCATATGAAGATTGTTTACACATTCAAGGCTTCATCATGCATCTCCCACAGAAGGGTTTTTTAAGCAGCAAGTTGCTTTGTTGTGTACTTTGGACCAGAGTTCGGCATCTTAAATCACTTAAATTCTTGATGTTTTTTCAAAATTTACCAAACATATCCATGTGAAATTGTGAACTTTCTTCTCAATTTTCTAAGCATTTATCCAACTTTTCCCAAGGATCCTTTTTCGAATTGGCTCCTTCCTTTCATTCATTTTCCTCATCTTTTGACCAGTTCCTGTTCTTCTTCCTTCATGCTCTCGCTCTACTCTTAAAATGATGCTGTACATTGTATACCATGGAACGCCCATTGCAGAGAAATATTTAACTGTATAAAATTTCCCATTTTCATGATTTTCAATAAAAAATAAGCCACTTACAATTTTTTAACTAAATTCATTTATTCCTTCCACTTTAAAATGGAATGTTATTTACATAAACTTTTTCAATAAATTCAATAAAGAACATTCTAGAAGGAATGTATGCTGTCTTGTGTACATCTGTAATTATTTAAAATAACTGAAAAATTTATTGAAATTTAAGCAATTTTTAGGATACACATCTATAAAATTTTAGCATAGTAATATGATATACAGCAAAGTATTGACATTCTTTCATATGTATCCTGATGATGGCTACTAAAATAGCCAAAAAACATTTGAGAAAATAAATAATTTTGCTGGTGGAGACTTTTCTAGAGATACCATATATTTGAGCAGAGATGATGATACTTGAACCATAAAAAAGACCCCAAAATCCAGGGCCATCTTATAGGACAGGTAAAAAAAAAATTAGATTGAAATTTATATAAATTAAAATCATTATAAAAAATGGAAAAACCATAATTATTTACTAGTAGAGAGTAGGGTATGTCCACAAAATATTATAGAATAGCCCATATGATGTTTTTATGAATAGTAAAGGTCATTACCTGAATGCCAAATCAGTGGGAATGTTTGCAACAATAGCAAGACAGTGCTGCCAGATGCAAGAAAATAAAATTTGTTTATTCGAAAAATTACGAATAGGACATAATTCCGTATATGCTATACAGTATTATTTCCTAGATGATGATTGCTGATCTAAACTAAATTCATAGGCCATTGATAGTTTGAGGGTTGTCTTATAGGACAGATATATGCTACAACTATAAAACTTTGACGATAATTTATACCTCGTCTTATCTGTGCAAATATACAGTAACTGTTTTGTATATATTTTATAAAAACAAATATAATTTAAATGAATTAAATTATATTTGTTTTTTGCAAAATTCAGAACTAACTGCTGACTTCTTAGTAATTTTAGTTTCTTATGTATAAAGTGAGACAAAACAACTAATTTAAGAAAATATACATGCATTTATCATTGTTTTTAAATATTTATAAACCAAAGAGTAATTAACTAATTATATGCAATATAATATGAGAGATACTGTATTATCAAACACCAGAAAATATATATGTATCAGATTTATCTTCAGTAAATAAAAAGTAAATATAAGATTTAAATAGTAAAGCTTTAGAATCTTTAATTCCAAAATTAATTATATTTTGTAATTTCAAATCGTAATATGTAAATAAGACATTTGAATTTAAAAATTATGGTATCTCATCACTAAAATTTATGAAAGTTTTATGAAAGATGATTCCCATAAAAATTTCATACGTATGACATGGGTGGCCAACAAATCAATCATGACTGACCAGTCAATCAGTTTATCATTTTTGAAGGTAGAAAGTATGGCACTATTAAAATGTGTGAGAGGTCGGACTTCGAAAAAACCCCCACAATTTTATTTGGAAATTTTTTGAAAGAAAATTCATTTTTCGTTTTGAAAAGGAAATTTATTTAAATCTCATAGAAAAAAAAAACCTTTTCCATTTTATTACCGGAGGATGAGTGCAATTCTCTTCCTGGAGTCATTTCCTTTCCCAGGGAACTCAGAATGTGCCACTGGGAAGTACAACAAAAAATTCACTATTGGTGGAAAATGACAATGTAACTTGGAAATAAAGAGAAGACTTCAAGGAACAGTGAGAGGGGTCGAGAGAAAAAGAGAAATTAAAAAAAAATATATTATAATTCATATTTAGAACTATTTCTTCTCCAATTTAACTATACTCCAATTGTCTTCTTCAACTTATGTATTTTATGTCCCAAAGACACAATAAACACTAAAATGTGTATGTTGTGAACAGAGAAAAAAATCTGTAAAAACTGTGTTCACAGAATTATTTTGATTGCCCTATTCCAATATAATGTACCACTTATACCACTTACTAGATGGCACTTAACTCACAATGAACAAGTTAGACTATTATAGAAAAATATCATTTGAAAATTACTCCTACAATGACTATAATTATAACTGCTCTTAGAAATTAATTTCTATTATTCTTTGTGTCAATAATATAATATTGAATTTTGGCTATTTCTAAGAATTTTCTCAGATAATACTGACTACTTTCTTTTTGTCTATCAAATACGGAAATAGTAGAAGTGTTTCACCATTAAATAATTTGTTGTAATCATTTAATAACTTTCATTTATGAAAAAATTGTTATGATTTGTCCTTGATTTGGTTTATAAAATTGACATTGTATCATTTTCCCTTCTTTTCCTATGTTTGAAATAACAATACTTACCAAAATGTGTTTAAACAAAAGTTTCCCATTAAATATAGTTTTATGGATTAGAGATGTGATTGATCCCATTATATGATCATAAAAATAAGCTCTCTCAATAGGGTCTCTTGTCTCATCTGTTTTGGCAAAAGATACTTAAGAGAAACTTGGAACAAAATATTCAGGATTCCACTTATATTTAATTAACTAATCTTGTATCTATGTTATGTGGATGATGTACTCTTAGTTTGATAAGGGTTGATGAATGATTTTAATCTATTTATGCTTAACATTAAATTCATTGTTAAATGTGAAACTGAACAATGTACAATTTCATTTTTAGATTTGCAAATCAACCAACAAAGCCATATGCTCTCTACCTCAAATTAGTAGTGTCTTTCCCCTGTACATCACACTTTTCCTGTTAGCAATAAAGTCATGCTAGTCATGTATCTAACTCCTTTCAGGACAACACTTTTTAACTGAAATATTATATACATTTTTTTGAATTGAAACTATATACAAACTTCTGGTGCAAACAGAAGTTTGTATAATAATAGAAGGTAAGAAGTTTAATATTGTTGGTTAATTTCTAAAATCTACATAAATACGTAGGCCTCCAGACCAATATCCTCTTCCATATAATAATTAAATTTATCTGGAAGAGGAGATTGGTCTGGATGCCAGGATAGTATAACTGGCAATGCATCCATCTGGTATGTGGGAGTTATGGGTTTGAGTCATGCTCCGGGCCAATTCTTTTCTTCCAGAATATTCTGAACTATTTAATAAAATTTTAATAATTAAATTTAATGAGAGATGGCATCTAATGCTTCCCTCTAGTGACATACATAGAAGTTGGTACGGGCTGCACTCAGAGGTACAGCCCCAATCCCTCTAGTGACAAAATTATTTAGAAATTAATTTAAAATAATCACAGAAAAGTAGCCCAATGTAATCCAGTAGTTGTTTGGCTTATAAATATATCAGGTTTTAAGATGTTTGTATATGTATAAATGTACAGTTTTTAATTAATGATTCTGTTGACAGCAAGATTATCAAGTTATGTATATATGCTGGAAAATCAGCTTATAGTAATCTGTCCTTGCTGTTTGGACTCATAAAAGACTATGAGTCTGAAATGTATTTCCAATACTAATAAAGTGTATATTTTTGAACCTAATCTCATCTCCAACTCTGCTTCATCACTTAACCTACAAGGTGTGATAAGTCTGTTACAATTAGCCAGCACTTGGGACAATAGGGGACAAATTTATTCTTTACCCAATATTATTCTTAAAGATGAATTCAAACCACAAGCATACAAGCATATAGCTATCAGTGTGGTGATATGGACTTATCTTTTAATGTCTTCATCTGACTTATTGGAACAGGAATTGAATACTATAATGTTTGCTATAATTAAAGGTAAGTATCATAACAGAAAATTATATATATAAGGTTTATTGATCTCTGTTTCTCTTGTATATGCTTTACACATGAGGGTAATTTTTACGCATTATCAATTCCTTTCATCGATGATTTACCCATAAAACTAGTTACTTTCTTAAAAAAAAAAAANTCTTTCTTAAGATGTGTTTTCACATACATTAACAAGTAGGTAAAAATAAATACATAATTTTCATTTTTCTAATTTCTTTTTTTATAAGCACTTTTTAAAATTTCATTTCAGAGAATTTTTTTATAATTCAGAAAGCCAACTTTATTTTCAATTTTTTGGGCTGCAAAGGCTCCAACCTGAGTTATAGTTGATGATGATAATGATTATCTAAATATATAAAATTACTTGTCCTGACTGACTGAGTGATTGATTCATCATCGCCCAGAGCAAACTGCTGAACCTAGAGGTGAAATTTCGTACACAGTTAGGGTATGTCATGAAAACACACACAAGAAGGGATTTTTTGAAATTCCCCCATAGGGGAGAGGGAGAGAATTAAGGCTTAATCTCAAGAACGGCTTCTACTGTACTATTTTATACTCAAGAACGGCTTCTACTGTACTATTTTATACTCAAGAACGGCTTCTACTGTACTATTTTATACTCAAGAACGGCTTCTACTGTACTGTATAGTTAAAAACAAAAAATTGCGTTTTTGTTTTTAACTATATTTAGACGCAATTTTTTGTTTTTAACTATATTTAGTTTTCATTGAGTACTTAGGTGTATTAAATTGATAATATTTCAGATATTGTTATAATTATTTTTATATATTTTAATATTTTAACCAAATGTTCAAACTGTTTTAAATTCGAATTTGTTATTGTATATTGGTTTGATTATAGAATGATTGTAAACGTTCCAGAAAATTGATCAAATTGAAAGCAATTTGATTCTCAGCAATTCTCTCTCATCATTCTCAGTGGTAGGTGTTACATAACAATTACTATGATTGTTGAAATACTGAATATAAGTGCAACTGAGTGTTGGATTCAAAATAATTCCTTTTATATTAGTTTTGGCTATCAAAAGTAAAGTATAGATAGTTATAAGGTCAGGGATTGGGTATTCCTATAATCAAAATTACACTTTTAAATTTTAAATATGTGTATATTTAAGAAATAATCATTTGTGTTTGATAAGAAAGTATTGAATCAATGTCGGGTTTTCAAAATCAATCAGATACTCATTTCCTTAAATGTTCATTAAAGATATTTATCATGCAAAGTAGACAGTACATTTGCATACTGGATCTAGAATGTTTGATTGTAGAAGAAATTTACTTTAATTTCTTTTTTTACTAATAACAATTTGCAACTTCCTATTTTAGTTAGTGTTGCAACAAAATTTCACAAACCACTTACTGTATCATTTGTAGTAAGTTATTTGGTTTATTTGAACTTGTGTTGAACAGTTAGACATATTCATACTTTAACTATACCTTAACCTGTCTTTTTGCTATATACCAATAGAGCAAAATGACAAAATACTAATTATAGATATTGTGTATTTATGAATACTAAATTAGCTTAAAATACTTTCAATCAAATGTAACTTACCCCAGACATCAGATTTTGTAGAAAACTTATTATAAGCTAGGCCTTCAGGAGCTGTCCACTTAATAGGAAATTTAGCACCAGCATGAGCTGTATAAGTATCATCTCTCATCAAGCGTGCCAATCCAAAATCAGCTACTTTCACTAAATGATTTTCACCTACAAGACAATTCCTAGCTGCCAAATCCCTACAATAAAATAAACTATAGTTTATTTATGTAAATGGAATAATATTTTTCATGATATTTAAGTCAACAAGCTTACTTCAAGATAATGCTATAAGAAACCAGGAAATTATATTCAATTTCAAAAAATAAAAATTAATTTATCTTGTTTTTCAACACTAAACAAAAAAGCACCTTGTAAATCCAGTAAACATTTTAATAATTTAAAAATGTTTTTGACCAAGAGTTAATACATCATCTTCAGTTAGAAGGAAAACCCATTAACTCGGTTTAGCATTTAGTCTTATGTAATTTTTTACACATTTAATAGGTTATTTTTTGATAGTGAAGAATATTGTTTGATTGAACTAATATTGTCAATGATGTCAACAGGATTCACCAGTACATTAAATCAACAAATTCTCAACCAAATAAAGATTTATCACTTGCAATGACACTTATTTTAGTAACTTTAATGTACCACAAAACAAAAGTCTCCATTAAAATCTGATAGACATCAGTACTCAAAGAGAGATTCAAACCAGCAATCTAGCAAAGTAGAAACAATGCTTTAACATACTCATTCATCAGACTGGCACTAACATTTTTATTTTATTATTTTTTATGCTTTTATGAAACATTTTAAATTACTTTTTGCATTTTGGTGGTTTTCAATTCTGCTTATATTTTTGTATTTTCAAAATTAATTTTTTGACATTTACAAATTTTCAGGTATTTCAACTATTTGTGTTGTAATGTACAAAATTATATTCTGTTCTTTCTGCACTATAATTACATCAATGATTATTCTCTGTGAGTTCCTTTAATTCATATTTTACAATATAACAGTTTTATACAGTTTATTGAACACTAATTTGATATTCAAAATGTAAAAATGATTTCATTTTCAAAAATTTACATTTTTGATTTTCTCTTTATGGTATCTTTTTACAACATAAAAATATATCTAATTCATACATTAATAAGATATGAAATTAAATAAAACATTTTTTGTTTAAGTCAAAGTTCAAACTTGAAGAGGTTTAATAGAATTTGATATTCTCATACTTTATATTTTTTCTTTTGTTCTAGTTTCCCTTCAATTTGGAAATAACCAGGATGATATAAGTATTATAAAGGCAGTTCTTGCAAATAGCTATTTGCAAGAAGTGAAAATAAATTTGCAATAATTGTCATTATTTTATCACATATGCAATCAAAAACACATCACAACTTTCCTCAATTTAATTATTGCAGTGACAATAATTTTTTGAAAAGACTCATCCTTGCATTTATCAGGACTGACTAGATGTAACTGCAATGATCAGTGATTAAATGTAGTCTCACTCTCAAAATAGCGAAAAATAATCTTAATTTTTAATTTAGTATTGTAGATTTATCATGGCAGCCAAAAATATATAAATATAATTTACATAATGAATAATACAAAACATTTTGGCATTCATTAATTTACCTTTGTCCTCAATTGCTGCCATCAATATACTAAATGTTTGCATAAAAGTAAACAGTTGTGGTTTCATTTAAGATTGTGTTTAAAGTATAGAATGGCTACAATATTAGAAAAAGTATTGTGCAAGTAATTAATTTTATAATTGAATTTATGCAGGATAATAGTGTTTATTTTATCAAAATAATACCTTGATAAAATAAACACCATTCATAGTATATGATTAGTTTGAAGATCTCATCATTTTATATTTTATTTTGAAGATCTCATCATTTTATATTTTATTTTGAAGAAACTTTTAAGTAGATTCTAACTGAAACTATTTTCTACTATTAATTTCTTATCAATCAAATTCAAGGAACAATTCATCACAATTAACAGATTCTCTCTTAATTACTGATCAAACTACTGTATGTATCATTTTATTTGGCCCTTATAAATTGTCAGCATGGCATGTCTTTTAGAATAACTTTTGCTAAATTCAAATGCTTACATTTTTCCATATAACATGTTCATCAATTGAAATTGTTACATTTTAAAATTTCTCTTATATTCATATAAACCAACACAGAAACTGGATAACTATGTAAAAGAAAAAACTAAAAGCTGAAACTCCTGCAAAAAACAATTTTAATCTGACGACAATAGCTGAAGTTATTGGAAACATTTGTTTCTCATTAAATATTTTTTCATTTTTTGCTAGAGTTTTTGGTTTTTTCTTTCTGTTACATTCTTACAACCTCAGAAAATTTCTTTTAATGCTACTTTCTATATCCAGACTTTACTACTGGGCTTTTCATATGCTTTATTTTGTACATTATGATATCCATCTAAACATATGCTTATATATTTTTATATATGAGAATATAATTGTAAAACAATATTTCCTCCTACCAAGTAGCACTGACTTCTTAATATCTTGTTCTTCATTAACATAAATATACAAGCTGTAAATTTTATGTTGCTTTCATTATATTTTAACTAATGATAAGTATTATGATATAATTTTTAACATCAACCTTAAAAAAGTACTGATATCATGCATAATTCAAAAACAAAAAGGGAATCAAAGAAATAAAGAAGAAGAAAGTTAAAGCATATGCATACAATATACATTGTATGATAAATTACTAAATAATTTTATTCTGTCAATATCAAATTTGTTTAATTCAGATATTTATTTCATTTCTTTTAACAATATATTTTTATTCAAAATATCTATTTATTAATCCAAATTATGCCAAATATTTTCAGAATTATATATTTATTTAATTATCTAGGAACATCTAGATGAAAAAAATCAACCTGAAGTAGAATTTAAATATGTAACCTATGAAAGCTGGGTTTCATAGATAGCAATGAATGTTATCAATTATGCTATATAAATTTCAACTTTAATCTTCACTAACAGACATATGTAAATTTACACCATAAACTAGTACAGTTATATGATGTTTACCTGGTTTACAAGAATGAAGGTTCAAAATTAAACTCTGCATCAATATTTTCTTCTACCAAATATATGCATAAATGCATACATACATTTATAATTATTAACAATTAATAAAAAAAAATCAATCTGTAGATAAAAAAAATTATTTTATGAAATGAAATGTTATAAATACAGTTTTAAGCCATTCAACATTATATACATATTACTGTAATATCTTTGAAATGTATAATTTGTAAATGATATTTACAATTCAAATGATCAATATTCCAAATTTACAAATAAACATAAATTAATTCATAATTATTCAAATAGGAATTAATTTATAGAAACAATACAGTATAATGTAATAAAATAAACTTTTTCAAATATACCTATGAATAAAGCTATGAGATTCCAGATAAGACATAGCTGAAGCAATTTGAGTTGCCATATACATCAATACTACAGCATTAATCTCATCTCTGCTAGCATTGCGAAGATAGTCTAATAAATTACCACATGGCATAAATTCAGTTATTATATAAAAAGGAGGTTCTCGGGTGCAAACACCTAAAATATAATAAATTATTTATATTAGTAAATAATATTTTTACTAAATTTATTGTAGAAGCTATTAAAATACAAATTACAATATTAAAATCTAAATTTGTAACTAAGTTTGAATTTAGCATTATATTAATTATTGAAAATTTATAATTTGAAAAACAAAAAAGTTTAACTAAAATATAACAAATTTATAAATGTTTAAAATTATATTTAAAGACAATACTTTATTAAGTATAACTATTTTCTCTAATTTTTGCAGACTGGATTTATGTTAAAATGATATTTTCTAATATGTTTTTTCAGCACTAAATTAATAAACTGTACAATTATAAATTAGTCAGTTTGTCTGTACAGAACTATCTAAAACTAGTTAAGACAAAGTTCTTTATTTTGTTTATGTTAAACACTTTAAATTTTAAAAAAATCTTTGAGTAAATTAACAAAATAATTTTATTATTCTAATATCAATGTTATCTATTTCTTGCTATAATGTATAAATTCCTAAAAATATTTATAGAGTATTTTATACAAAATAATAATAAACTGTGTATATCATTTTCATAAAATAGAGAAAAGCATTTCAATAATATAGTTAACTACACTTGAAGCATTTTAATGGTTGAAATAAAATATAATATGCATTAAAAAAATTTTTTTAAATAATTATTACTAGATTTGTCTATTATTGTTTGCAATATTTATTTATTTCTCTTTTTTTCAGCACTAAATTCAACATTGTATTCTGCATTAAGCAGCATGTTTAAAGTTTCAATGTTCTTATGTATTAGAGCAGAGGTTCCCAACTTATTTTTATCACAAAACTCTTTTCACCTTAATAAAAAATGAAACTTTGCAGATATCAATGAATTAAAGCATACTAGGTAGCCACTTTACACTGAAACTGAAAGTAAAACTATAAAACAACAATTAAAAAAATAAAATAAAAATTAATTAATTAAAATTGAAATCAAATCAATTGAAAATTAAAACAATGTTTTTAAAAACCATTTAAAAGTTGTTTTGAAATTTTCAAATTGTATATTAAATTTATTTTTAAGATTTTATAGCTTTAGTTTATGTTTTACTGTTTTTATGGTTTCCATTACTTTGTCAAACATTATATCATGATTTTGGTTCTTTCTGTTAACAATAAATCAATCCCCATTGTTTATAAAGCTATAAATAACTTTAGCACATGATACGAGAACTTGATTGGAGACTATACATCATACAAGGATGCAATCTGAGGCTAGAACAATTACACCTCACATCCCAAATCTGCATTGGCACATTCATACATCACTACACTAAACAGATTTCATTGTGAAACCCCAAAGTTTTGTTGTCGGGAACATCTGTATTAGGGTAAATGGAAAAATGCTTTGTTTACCTAATTCAGCTTATAATAGAAATGTTTTAGGACATATCAGAGATTTATGCAAATTCCACTGTGATCTAAAAGCAAATAAAATTCAATAATATTGAAATGATATTAATTACATTCATTTCAAAAACTAACAAAATTATTATAAAATTTAAAATTCAAATAAAACAGGGAGAAAATAAAGCTGATTCCAACAGCAGCATACAGAGAAGGGTCCGTTGTGGGAGTGACTTCATCAAATGTGGAACTTTTCGTCATTGAATGAACATTTTTTGTTGTTCATTGAAATTTTTAGGAAATTAAAATATGATGTGATCCTGTTTTTTTTACAAGTTTTAAGAAATTTGTAAAATAATCAAATAAAACAATTCATATTTGTCATAATCTCATGTGTTACTTCATCCAGTCATTTATATTCATCAATGATCTTATCTATTATTATAAACAGCAATTTGAGATAACATAATATTCATTGCCGATGCTTATTCATTAATTTGCAATATTTTCATTTAATTGTCATGCTTTTATTCAATCTTTTCTATCTCTCTCTCTCTCTTTTTTTTTACAATATTAAATATACTCAATCAACAATATTTTATAATTTTTTTTACAAATATATTATTGATCAATTGTTCTGTATAATTCTGGTATATTTTGCTATCTATACAGATGTTGCATTAATGTACAGAATTTTAATGATGTATTACTTATCTTACCTAACAACTGGACCAAATTGGGATGTTTCATTTCTTTCATAATAGAAGCCTCTTCAAGAAAATCCTTTAAAGCCATGGTATCTTCCTAATTAAAAAAAAAGTATATCTAATATCATGTCAATAATGATTATTGTAATTATTTAAAAATGAAATTTTAATTACTTTTAGAGTCTTCACTGCTACAGTCATGTTATATCTTTTCCACACAGCTTCATAAACATCACCATATTGACCACCACCTAACTTATGTTTCATCACAATATCTGTTCTATCAATTTCCCATTCATCTGGCTCTGGACTTAATGCAAATACTGTAGGTTTATTTCGTTTGGGAGCTGGATAAAGCAGCATTGTAATTAATCCATCAGCATGCATAGAATGATGATGAACTAATTCAGCCAAGGTATTAAACCGACATTCTGAGGTCACATAAACCTTAAAATATTATGTTTTTATTAGATAATCTTAACAATATTAAAAATAAAATTAAAGAAATTTTTTAAATGATAAATATAAATTTAAAGAATATATTTTAAGTTTAAAATATAAAAACATAATAATCATGAAATTTAATATTCTAAAGTGAATCTTTTATTCAAAGACACTATACAAAATAAATATTAAGTGAAAACATTTAACAGGCAAATTAAAGTATTGATTAAATTCTTTCATCAAGTACATAAAACTAAAGCATAGAGTTATGAAATAAAACATTTTCTTTGTAAAAGTTCAATTACACTGTAAATGATCAAAATATAATTATCTAATAAAAAAGAAATTATATTTAAACAAGGAGAATAACTTGATGTAAAAAGGCACTAAAGAATATTTTATTTCTTTGTGAGCACTTTCGATGCTGTTAAGAACGTCGTCTTCAGCACAGCTTCAAATCACTTGTAGAGAAATAAAATATTCTTTAACACCTTTTTTATGTTGAGTTATTCTCCTCGTTTATGTACATTTGTCGGAATGACATCCACCTTACACATTTATATTACTTTACAATAAATTATATTATATTCAAAGTCTACTAAGTATCTTTCTTATGCTTTCATATGCTAAAAAACTGCAGATTTTTAGTTAAATTAAACAACATATTAGCTATAACTAAGAGAAAATGACTTCCAACACCTTAACACTGCGTTGAGTAATAATAATCCACGAAACCTTATTTTACCAGTGTTATGTCCGTAACAAACTCCACAAATGCTTTCGACCTCCACCGAGGTCTGCTTCAGGTGGTGACTGACTGTGTTTCCTCCTGACCATCGTAATGATGTTGCCAGAGCTGTAAATAATTGTGTTTATCGGGTTTCACCCCTTCGACTGTCCCTGTTTGAATTCCTCAAACAAATACCTCCACGCCTGCGCAATCATTTCACCATCTTTGAAGTTGATTCAGGTGACCCCACTGTTAGCTTTATGTATCTCCTAGGCCTCCAGGTGACTGATGTGATCAGTATGGAACGCTTGTCTGATTAGTCTGATGTTCAGGAAGTCCGCCCATATTTCAGGGTCAGTAACGTAGGTCGATAAGGCGGCGGTGTGACTGTTATTTTTAATATCCACTTGATGTTCACATATCCATTTTTGTGTTGAGCAGATGATGGAGCTAATGTAAACCAAGTCTCTATTGAATCTATCGTCCCTGATGGGAATGGAGTATACACCTGGGGCCCATAACACTGGTAAAATAAGGTTTCGTGGATTATTAGCTATAACTAAATAATGTTATATTGAATTTAGATCTGCCAAATATAACTTAGATAAGAATGTAACAGAACAAGCATTTTTCTAACAACTCAATACTCATATATTTAATCTTAAAATGTTTTATACAGGATCCCTTGCTTTATAATGTGTTATTGAATTAAGGTCCTACTGATAATGATATAAAAGTTAGAACTTGTATCATCATCAAAAGTTTGTTCAAAATGAAATAAATAACTGTATTCAAGTTTGACAGCAAAATATAAACATATCTAAATTTTTTCAGTAAGTTTTAAAATGCTAGATTAGCCAATTAAGAGTGTGTATCATAAAATCTGCATAAATTTCAAAGTTGTTTAAAATTCATTATTTATTTTAAAATAAGGTTTTTTAAAATGTTAGATTAGCCAATTAAGAGTGTAAAATCTGCATAAATTTCAGTTGTTTAACATTCAGATGAGATGATCAGGACTGATCGGCTGCAACTTGAACTTTCATCTTAACCAGTTGTATTAATCTCTTGAAGTGGCAAACTTGGCCTTGAATACAAATAATGACTAGTATTTACTAGTTAACTTTAAATAAACTATCTTCACAAAACAAAAACCAACAGAAATGATAAAAACTCATGTTTGGTCTTGATCTGAACAGGATCAAGGCCAACTTCACAGATCCAGTTTCCCAGCCATTTTCATAAAAATTTTGCTTCAGTTGGTAAAAAAATCTCTCAATTGGTCTCAGTTGTGAAACATTTGGAATATTGATTTCAGAGGCGATGTATTAAATTCTATAATAGACAAACTAGACAACTGTGACATAAGAATAATGGGCACTGTACATGTCTGGTCAGAAGACATCCTTGATTATAGTAGTATTTTGTTTAGAAATTGTAATAGCCTCTTCTGAATGCATTCATTGTCATACACTTCTTTGGTGATGGAACACTGTGATGGGACAATAAAGGTGTAAATGTCCATTTGGACTGAAAGCCAGCCAAACCAGATGCTTCAATGAAAACTTGCAGTGTCATTTAAATTTGACTTCAGGATCCACATCTAACCCTTCTTTGGTGAAACAGTGACTGTTACCAGCACATTCATTTCTATCAAAAATGAAATACGACTTGTCATCCATATGAAGATTGTTTACACATTCAAGGCTTCATCATGCATCTCCCACAGAAGGGTTTTTTAAGCAGCAAGTTGCTTTGTTGTGTACTTTGGACCAGAGTTCGGCATCTTAAATCACTTAAATTCTTGATGTTTTTTCAAAATTTACCAAACATATCCATGTGAAATTGTGAACTTTCTTCTCAATTTTCTAAGCATTTATCCAACTTTTCCCAAGGATCCTTTTTCGAATTGGCTCCTTCCTTTCATTCATTTTCCTCATCTTTTGACCAGTTCCTGTTCTTCTTCCTTCATGCTCTCGCTCTACTCTTAAAATGATGCTGTACATTGTATACCATGGAACGCCCATTGCAGAGAAATATTTAACTGTATAAAATTTCCCATTTTCATGATTTTCAATAAAAAATAAGCCACTTACAATTTTTTAACTAAATTCATTTATTCCTTCCACTTTAAAATGGAATGTTATTTACATAAACTTTTTCAATAAATTCAATAAAGAACATTCTAGAAGGAATGTATGCTGTCTTGTGTACATCTGTAATTATTTAAAATAACTGAAAAATTTATTGAAATTTAAGCAATTTTTAGGATACACATCTATAAAATTTTAGCATAGTAATATGATATACAGCAAAGTATTGACATTCTTTCATATGTATCCTGATGATGGCTACTAAAATAGCCAAAAAACATTTGAGAAAATAAATAATTTTGCTGGTGGAGACTTTTCTAGAGATACCATATATTTGAGCAGAGATGATGATACTTGAACCATAAAAAAGACCCCAAAATCCAGGGCCATCTTATAGGACAGGTAAAAAAAAAATTAGATTGAAATTTATATAAATTAAAATCATTATAAAAAATGGAAAAACCATAATTATTTACTAGTAGAGAGTAGGGTATGTCCACAAAATATTATAGAATAGCCCATATGATGTTTTTATGAATAGTAAAGGTCATTACCTGAATGCCAAATCAGTGGGAATGTTTGCAACAATAGCAAGACAGTGCTGCCAGATGCAAGAAAATAAAATTTGTTTATTCGAAAAATTACGAATAGGACATAATTCCGTATATGCTATACAGTATTATTTCCTAGATGATGATTGCTGATCTAAACTAAATTCATAGGCCATTGATAGTTTGAGGGTTGTCTTATAGGACAGATATATGCTACAACTATAAAACTTTGACGATAATTTATACCTCGTCTTATCTGTGCAAATATACAGTAACTGTTTTGTATATATTTTATAAAAACAAATATAATTTAAATGAATTAAATTATATTTGTTTTTTGCAAAATTCAGAACTAACTGCTGACTTCTTAGTAATTTTAGTTTCTTATGTATAAAGTGAGACAAAACAACTAATTTAAGAAAATATACATGCATTTATCATTGTTTTTAAATATTTATAAACCAAAGAGTAATTAACTAATTATATGCAATATAATATGAGAGATACTGTATTATCAAACACCAGAAAATATATATGTATCAGATTTATCTTCAGTAAATAAAAAGTAAATATAAGATTTAAATAGTAAAGCTTTAGAATCTTTAATTCCAAAATTAATTATATTTTGTAATTTCAAATCGTAATATGTAAATAAGACATTTGAATTTAAAAATTATGGTATCTCATCACTAAAATTTATGAAAGTTTTATGAAAGATGATTCCCATAAAAATTTCATACGTATGACATGGGTGGCCAACAAATCAATCATGACTGACCAGTCAATCAGTTTATCATTTTTGAAGGTAGAAAGTATGGCACTATTAAAATGTGTGAGAGGTCGGACTTCGAAAAAACCCCCACAATTTTATTTGGAAATTTTTTGAAAGAAAATTCATTTTTCGTTTTGAAAAGGAAATTTATTTAAATCTCATAGAAAAAAAAAACCTTTTCCATTTTATTACCGGAGGATGAGTGCAATTCTCTTCCTGGAGTCATTTCCTTTCCCAGGGAACTCAGAATGTGCCACTGGGAAGTACAACAAAAAATTCACTATTGGTGGAAAATGACAATGTAACTTGGAAATAAAGAGAAGACTTCAAGGAACAGTGAGAGGGGTCGAGAGAAAAAGAGAAATTAAAAAAAAATATATTATAATTCATATTTAGAACTATTTCTTCTCCAATTTAACTATACTCCAATTGTCTTCTTCAACTTATGTATTTTATGTCCCAAAGACACAATAAACACTAAAATGTGTATGTTGTGAACAGAGAAAAAAATCTGTAAAAACTGTGTTCACAGAATTATTTTGATTGCCCTATTCCAATATAATGTACCACTTATACCACTTACTAGATGGCACTTAACTCACAATGAACAAGTTAGACTATTATAGAAAAATATCATTTGAAAATTACTCCTACAATGACTATAATTATAACTGCTCTTAGAAATTAATTTCTATTATTCTTTGTGTCAATAATATAATATTGAATTTTGGCTATTTCTAAGAATTTTCTCAGATAATACTGACTACTTTCTTTTTGTCTATCAAATACGGAAATAGTAGAAGTGTTTCACCATTAAATAATTTGTTGTAATCATTTAATAACTTTCATTTATGAAA